AAAAACTTGCCTCATTCTCTCTGGGGAGAAGCAGTGTCTACTGCTGTGCATATTTTAAACAAGTGTCCTACCAAGAAGCTTGGAGATAAGGTCCCGGAAGAAATCTGGTCTAGCAGAAAACCAGTGGTGAGTAATCTGAAAATTTTTGGTTCTGTGAGTTACAAACATACTCCAGATGCTAGGAGGAAGAAGATGGGAGATAAAAGTCTGCAATGATAATGGTAGGATATTATCCTACAGGCGCATATAGACTCTACAATCCTACTACTAATGAAGTTTGTATCAGTGGAGATGTTGTGATAAGTGAAGATGAGTCATGGAACTGGAAGGAAGCAACAGATATGGCTGGAAGTCAGATTGTTTCAGTAACAATTGGAGATGAAAGTAAAGAGTTAGAGAGCAATCAGGTCGGTGAAACAAGGCTCACACAACAGCAAGTACAAAGAGAACCAAGGAAGAGAACCATGCCAAGAGCATTGATTGACTTTGAAGTTTATCACGATAATGCTATAAATAATGAAGGAGATTTGGTTCATTTCGCGTTACTGGCAGAAGTAGAACCTATTAATTATGAAGAAGCTATGAAGCATGAGGTGTGGAAGGCTGCAATGATGGAAGAATTGCATTCAATTGAGAAGAGTGGAACCTGGACATTGACAGAATTGTCTCTGAACAAGAAACCCATTGATGTAAAATGGGTTTTCAAGTTGAAATTACATCCAAATGGAGATATTGATAAAAGGAAAGCAAGACTTGTTGCACGAGGATTCCTGCAGAAAGAAGGTCTAGACTACACAGAAGTTTTTGCTCCTGTAGCTAGAATTGAAACTATAAGGTTGGTGGTAGCTTTGGCAACTGGAAAAGGTTGGCATTTGTTTCAACTTGATGTGAAATAAGCTTTTCTCAATGGTCCACTTGAAGAGGAAGTATATGTCACTCAACCTCCTGGATTTCCGGTTAAAAGGAGTGAAAATAAAGTTTTCAGATTAAAGAAGACTTTATATGGGTTGAAACAGGCACCAAGGGCCTGGAACAAGTTGATGGATGCGTTTATGATGAAGCATCAGTTTGTAAAATGTCCAGTGGAGCATGGAGTCTATGTTAAAATTCTGGATGAAGCCAATATGTTGTTAATGTGCATATACGTTGATGATTTGCTTCTTACGGGTAGCAATCAAGCTGAAATAAGTAGATTTAAGGAGTTATTGATGGCTGAATTTGAGATGATTGATCTTGGAAGATTAAAATACTTCCTTGGAATGGAGTTTGTTGAAGTTAGTAAAGGAGTAATCTTATATCAGAGAAGGTATGCAGTAGAAATTCTGAAGAAATTTTACATGGAGAATTGCAATCCAACTGTAATACCAGCTGAGACAAAGGTTCCAGTAATTGAAGGTGATGAAGAAGAGGCTGACAACATACTCTACAAGCAAATTGTTGGTTCACTTAGGTATCTGTGTAATAGTAGACCTGCTATTGCATTTTCTGTTGGAGTTTTGAGTAGATTTATGCATCAGCCAAGGAAGAAGCATGTGCTAGCTGCAAAACAGGTATTGCAGTACATTAAAGGGACTATTGATTTTGGAATTCTATTTCCTAAGTCAGATCAGATGCAGGGCAAACTATTGGGTTTTCTGATGCAGATTGGTGTGGTGATAACAATGATAAAAGGAGTACTACAGGATACTTGTTCAAGTTCATGGGTGCACCAATTTCTTGGTGTAGCAAGAAGCAACCTGTTGTTGCTTTATCCACATGTGAAGCAGAGTATATAGCAAGTTCAAATGCTGCATGCCAAGCAGTTTGGCTTTATTCACTCATGACAGAAATAAGGGTACAGATTGAAAGGCCTATTCAGTTGTACGTTGATAATAAATTAGCCATAAATTTGGCAAATAATCCTGTGTCTCATGGAAGGAGTAAGCACATTGAGACTAGGTTTCATTTTTTGAGGGAGCAAGTGAATAAAGGGATATTAAAGGTGGTTTACTGTCATACTCAGCATCAAGTGGCTGACATTTTTACCAAATCTTTGAAGAAGGAGAGGTTTGAAAAGTTAAGGGTTGAACTAGGTGTTGTTAGTTTGAGAAATTGAATTAAGGGGGAATGTTGTATTTTGTTATAATTCAATTTCTGTTTACAGCTGTTACAGTTCTGTTTTTGGTAGTTAAATTTGTATATAAGAATTATCTCTCTTTGTTGTATTTGATACCTTTTCATATAACACTTACGTAAATATACAAACACAAACACGTGCAGTATTTCTTAATTCTTCTCTGCTCTCCAACAGATGTCACCTGCTCAAATCATCCATGTTGATTTCTCACACATGAAATTCATAAGAAAACCTAATAAATGTTGATTCTTCACACAATTAACAGATTTTCCAGCATTAGGGTTAGGGTGTTATGCAATTGATACATTCATTCCATTCCTGACAATTAACGTAACAAATATTCTTACCGTGATCTAGGGTTCAAGCTATATTTTCCAATCATACCTCAAACAATCAAGAATAAATCATTCTAAAGCATAAAGGATAAGAATAACAACATCAAAGCATAGATTAAGATCTCAAAATATCACCATGATACAAAAGAGTTCAAAGGAAGTGCACTGAATCCTAAGAGAATGAAGTTAGCCAGTCATGTTGGCCATTACAATGCTCCAATTGATGAAGAAGTGAAGAATTGATGAAGAAGTGAAAATTGATGAAATTTAGACAAAATCCTAACAGTAGTCGTGCCTCCTCTCCTCCAAGACTGATTGTTTTTCTTAAAACACAACTTATCTTTTTATAAGAGAATTTGGGCCGAGCCTCGCATCATCCATTCACTTAAGCGTTCTTCTTTTTTTCAATTTTATTCCAATTATGCTGACAATTACGCTTCTTACTCTTGTATCAAGGTATTCTCGAATTCATTCTATATTGGGAGAAAAATATATTAGAATTAACATAAGTTAAGTGGTTTTATAATAATTCAAGGCATAATTATATCAACTTTTTACCACTTAACAAACTTTCAATACTAATGTGGTTGTGGCCAAAGATGGTTGTGGAAGTACACAACAGTTAAACCGCCGTTAGTTTCTAATGCTAATGCGGTTGTGGCCAAAGATGAATCTGGAAAGTACACAACAGTGAAATTGTTGTTGACTCTGCACCAAAAGAGTAGCAGTGGAAGGTATGTGATACATTTGAACGGTGGAAATTAGAAACATGATAAAAGCTACTCTTTGTCTATTTATCATCCATTTTTCGGAAAAGCATTTGTATTTGTTTTAGTAGAAAATGTTGATACGTACAATTTTATAATTTTTATCTGAAATTATTATACTATGAAACGGTAAATATTCTCTTACTGGATATGACATGCATAGTTTATGCATGTTTATAACTTTTCTTTCCTAAGAAAGTATAAATATTTGTCATTATGGGAATGAAAAATATATGATTGAATGTCAGAGAGACTACAACTAGGGATGGATTGGAATAGTGTCTAACTTACTAATATTAGAACCACTATATCTGTAAATTGAGACGTAGGCATTCAAATCTAAAATAACTCATGTCATTGAGAGCAATATATGAAATCTAGTTAGTATCCGCATCAACTCACTGTTTATATTTGAAATCTTATTCTATCTATTGTTCCATGTTTCTTTCTCATATAATATAAAGAGGGCTTACTAAACAGTTTATGAAAAAAGTTTTCCAAATAATAGGCAATCATCTTAAAATGAAAGATGATGAAATAAGAAAGTATAATACAACTATACAACATGATCTCACTAGGTAGACCTTTGAGTACATCCAAGTAAATAAAGTGATAGATACATAATCTCTGCTTCACACCGGAATATCTCTTCTTTATTATCTCACACGTAAATTTAAAAATGTAGACTATAATGATCTTACCAAAATCATTTTTTACTTGCTTCAACATTATGTCTATAAAGGTTGAATAATATCCATAAACTCTAAAATTGTGTATATCATGACAACCATTTTTCTTCTGTCAACATTATCAATTTCCAATTAGTAACATTTGTGAAAAGAAAAAAATATATATTTATATACATAGTCTAGAAAATCTGTATCTTTTAGAATTTAGCTCACTTATTTTACAAATAATCTAACAATTTAACATCTAATTAAAAAAAATAACAACAATAATTTCTCTATGGAAGAGTTCATTTTCCATTCCACAAAAGAATTTGAAACTCATTATAGTAATCTCTAGTCTTCTCCCAACCACAAGAAGTTATTACTATGACTCATTATGATGATGAGCCTATAACTAAATAAGTTTTGGATAGAAAATTATTCAACTCCATAGCCCACGCACGATCCAGTGTTTTGCAAATCAAATTGTTGCGAGGGACTTGCAGAACAAGTTTGGACCAGATGTAGGTTAATCATGTTCCACGTCCTAAAAGATCACTTGGCCCCTAAGCACAATGAATGGACCAAGATAACTAGTAGAAACTATATGACAAGTGTACAACTTGGAAAAATTAAATGATGGGCGATTAAATAAACATGATGCTACATTATTCACCTGTTTGACGATAAATCAATACTCTTATATGGCCTAGAGTGATACAAAATATTCTTTAAAAAAAAAAACATTGATCTAAAACTGGAGGTTGGAGCGTCAACACGGTACCAGAGGGGTGAGAAGAAAAAATCATCTGGAATTTTTAGGGCAAACAAACAGACAAAACACTGTTCTCCATATTACAAATATTGATTGAAAAACAATCTGCTAAATTCTGATCATTTCCTGAAAACTATCTTCAGTAACAGCTTTTAATAACAGTCGAGGTGAAAGCTGCAGACGCAGCAAGAAATTGTAGAAGCACATAGAATCAAAACCCTGCACCTGAAATCTAGAGATCGCAGTAGTCTGTGTACATAGATGAGAGGATCAGCAATCACTGCTGCGCTAATCACACGAAAATTTTCCAAATCAGCTAAATGAAATCTGTAACTTTTTTTAACTTAGTCTCACGCTCTGCCTTGTCTTGATCATCCGCTTGAGTGAACCTAACCAGGACTGGCATTCATCCCACTCGGTAGTAGTAAGAAGAACCTGCAACACAAGTAAAATAGCTTGAATGTAAATATGATGCAAATTCTCAACACAAGCAAATACTATAATTAACATTTGCAATTGATTTACCTGGATTTGTAGGGCAGTACCAAAATCACCATTGTCTAATGACTGACAAAGCTGAAGGAGCTTATCAGAAGCATTTTTGGATATGTCTCCACTATTCAACTTGGCAAACAACCCACCAAGTCTCTTTGAGTTGTCTTCTATCTCCCTCCTCTTGGCTGGGTTTGCACGGGAACCCCCCAGAGCATCTGATGTCTCGTTGAAGAGTCTTGTCAATGTTGTGACAATTGGCATTTGATGCCCTGGCATTGTCAAAGCAAGCAAATAATGCAACAAAAATGATGTGTTAATTGTAGAATTCGAGACATCTGATGACCCAATTGTAAAATAAGCTCAGGCAAATTCAGGATTCATTTTAGTCAAATGTAAAATTCCAGGATACCACAAAAATTACCAGGTACTTTTGAAGTATCAGCAGTCTGCAGGGTAGGAGGTGGAGCTGGTGGTGCAGCAACTGGTTGCACAGGTTGCACTTGAGGGGGACTGGGAGGTTGTACTGATCCCACCCCAGGTCTTTGGACACCACCAGAACTGGAGACTGGCATGAATCCCATCGGATTTGGGGTAGGGGCCGCAACTTGTGACAGGTTGTGGCCATGAACCAAGCCCACTTGTGATGTAGCAGAGGGTGTAGGCTGGTAAGGTGGATTGGTGGTTGTCTGAAATAGAGAAAGTTTCTGTTTAATCCACAAGTTGCCCCAAGTACTTGATAATATCAAATTTGAAATTAAAAAGGTTGTCTGACATTGTACAACTGAGAACCCAATGTGGGCTGCTGATATTGCTCCACATTTCTTAGCACGGGAGGAGTTTGAGGATCAAAAGTTCTCAAAGGAGGTGGTGCAACAGCAGTGTTTGAGAAATTCAGCTACAAGAAAGAAAAAAGTAGATTTAGGAAAGCAACAAGGGAAAAAGGTATGAAAAGCGAACAGTAGAATTTTGCTTCAAATATAACATTAAATCTTACACAAGGAGGACTTGCAACTAAAACACTAAACAACAAGTCAAGATTATACAAGAGTGACTAGTGCATGAGTTTACCTCGTTGTACCATCTGATGATACTAAAATTTAAATAAAAATGTTCCATACCCTAATATTACTATGTGTCATAGCAGAGAGAAGTTTGAATTTCAGACATTCTTCTGGTATCTCAGAAATGGTAGCCACTTTGCAAATAACAAACGACTTCTCTTCTATGTCTCCAAATCAACCATTTGGATTCAAAATCACACACTACGTGCAGGTTTGGTTCGACTAATTTAAAAATGAAATGCAGCCTCTAAAAGAGCTTTAAAGAAAATAATTATTTCACCCAAAAGACTACAGATTATCAATATATTTTGATTAAAACTCAAGTTACCACTGAGCTTTATTACATAAAAATTATCCACAAACACTACAACTGCTCTTTTTCAAGTCGTGACATAAAATGATAGCATACCTGGGGAGTTTGTACAACTTGAGTAGCCTGTGGTGGAACAAACAAATTAGGCTGTTGAGATTGCTGCGGTGGAGTAGCAGCACCATAACCTCTTCCATATCTAGGATCAAATGGCTGTTGATAGCTTTCAGGATATTGAATTCCAGAAACACCATGCTGCACTTGAGTGGATATTGACTCCTAAATGACAAACATTATTTGGAATAATTTCAAATTGTAGAACGACAGTACTTTTCCACCAAAAAAAATGCTAGAGAATAAGTTAAATAACTACCTGATAATAATTTCTATTATAATTGGAGTTATCGGCACCATGATAGGACCCACTTTGTACTCGAGCATTTTCAAAAGCAGTGGTTTTGAAGTCTTTCTCTGCAAGCAATAACCAATTGAAAAGGAAACAAAAAAACGGTGAAGAAAATATAGGTATACAAAGCTTCAACATTTAACAAAAGTAGGTCTCTCCAATCAAGAGTCCTTAATGACAAAATAATGATGATGTCCCCTCCACCACGGTGAAAATTAATTTGGTTGAACTGGCTGCTCAACATGCCAAATGTGATTTATAGTGACTTTTTTTATTTAGAATAAGAAAAGAAATGACATTTACCGAAAAGGAACTCTTGGTAAAACCATTTCAGTTTATGAACAATCAAACAATCCACTATTCATTAAGAAAGTTCAATGAGTGGCAGATAAGAAACAAAACACATCATACTATATTGCGATATAGAACTATCTATACTAAGTTAATTAATAACATTATAATGATATTATTGTTCTAATAACAAAATAAGTATTCATCAAGCAAAATTGGCATGCAAAGTGTCACTTGCTAAAACTCAGCATCCCTTGAGTCCAAGAAAATTTTTACCAGGTTCTGTAGAAAGTGCAATTCGATCTTTTAAAATCGTAAGCTCAGGTGACAGTTCTTCAGAACCCAGAAGTTTTAAATACTCCATTGCTGTAGTCAATAGCCCTTGACTAGCCAAAATTTCAGCATATTTCTCAACAAGCTTGCACAGGGAAGCACTAAACCGCTTCTGCCCAGTTGCCAAGGCAAGAACAATAGTCTTTTCCATTAAATCCTAACAACATATAATTTTGTCAACTTTCCAGTAGTAATAATGTTTAGTGGGATGTTTGTAACAATTACAACAAAAGTATCAACCTTACCTGAAGAAGGTCTACATAAGATTTCCCCTCGTATTCATTTGACAGGCTCCTTGACCAAATTTCAACAGTTTTATCAATATTTCCAGCGCATATATAACACAGAGTTGCAGCCAATGTATTGCCAGCCCCCATGAGTTTTGAAGCAAGTGTATCACAAAGCATAGTCCATTCATCTCTCTGAGCAAACTGTTAATATGTGATAACATGAATAATATGAGTATAATAAAAAATAATTCAATCAAGAAAATTAATGGCTAATATGGAGCTTTTCTAATTTGTACTATAAGAGAAATTTTGGTCTCAACTTCATCCAGTCATAAATATGACCATTAGTAACAACAATACATCAGAAACCATAATTTGAAAAGGTGAAGCCAGAAACGAAATTGATGCAGGCTTTCAAGATGCAGTAATTCTAGAGATGGCAATATGATAAGAAAAAATAAATTATTAAAGAAACCCAGGGTATAGTAAGAAGCAAGTGAGCGTGGTAAAACTTCATTAAGTAACTCTGCATTCCCTTTTTATCAATTTAAAATGACAGGAATACTAAAAGAGATGAATGTTAACACTCTCTCAAACAATCTCTTTCCAACGCCATTATTGGCTGTGTATTGAATATGACAAACTTTCGTGGGTCCCACTTATCATTCAATGAGTCTCGATTCTCTCTCCTAATCAAGAAGTAGGACTCACCAAAAATTCTGATTTTCAATCAATTTCAACCTATGTAAGAGTGTTGCTATAACTCCTCACACTAAAATGATTTCAGCACTTCAAAATTTAACAAAAAAACAATTGACCAGCACCAAAGGCCCAAGAGACTTACACTACAAAGAAGAGCAAGGGTTTCTTTCCAGAATTTCAGAGGCCGAGTGTTCACTAAGCTCAAGAGATCATTGCTCACCATTGCTGATACAATCTGAAAATGGAAATAACCCACAAATGCACAAGATTTGTAAAAACCAAAATATCAGGTAGGCATTGGTTAGAATTTGTTAGATATAAAGTTGACAGTTTATATGATGTTATCATCAGCTACCTTCAAGTATGGTGATCGAACCATCTTAAGGTATTGATCACGTGTACTTTCCCATAAGGAAGCATTCCCAACATGAGCAATAACTAATGCATCAGCCCATTTATTTGCAGAAATGCATTGCATAACTGCACCCTTATAGTCCCCAACAACTAAAGCATGCTGAACACTATCATCAAATGAAGGGTCACTGCTCTCCTCCATTTCTGCATCATCTTGAATTTTCTCGGAACCATTGGCATTTTCTGCAACAAAGTTGCCAGCAGAAGTAGATAAAGGGGTATCAGCTTTAGGACTGGGGAGATTGTTAAAGAAATCCTCCCCATTATCAATAGAGAACATAGAGGTTTCATTAGTGGCCTGTCCAGCATTGTCAACAGTTGCATCCTCGACTCCAAGTGCATTTACATCTTGAGAAAGATCATCATTAACTGTGTCTTTTGATTCACTAGGTACATTGAAACCAAGATGTGAAAGAAGTTTTGTCCGTGCAGTCCCATCATCTTCAAACATAACCTTTAAAAAGCCCCATGTTTCTCTTTCCTCCATAGATCTATAACACCATAAACTTATCAGCATTGTTCAAAAAGTCACGAGTAAGGTTAGGCATCAAAAAGAAAGATCAAGAGACAATATTGCACTTAGTGAGTAAAACTCACTCTGATTCCTGAGATTTTTTATCACATAAAACCCTCAATAAAGACCTCTCCCCATTCTGTATTGCCGCTTCAAATTCAGAAGAACGAGTCACGAGACCATTTTCAGTGACCAAATTATGCACATAAACCTGGAAAATCAAAAGTAGAATGAATTTAACTAAAAGTTTTAAGAATTTTCCCAAACAAATACGATTCAATCACTAAAACCTTACCTCAGAAGCACCAGCAGGAGAACCTGCAGAAGATGCCCTGGGATGAAACGACACAAGTTTGCCTCCAAAGCCAAAAGACACACCAGCAGGACGTTTATACCATTTTGGTGCTCTCAGCGGTACTGTACAGAAAGGATATTTCATTAAAAGATTCCAAAAAGCCTTGATACCAAGGTGCTCTCAATAATAGAAATCCAAACTTAACTTTCCACAACACACAGATACATCTACAATATGCATATCAAGAAAAGCTGAATATACTGTATGTCACATACAGTTTGATATATGAAAAATTATAATATCATGTTTGAATTATTCTATGGAAGTAAAAAAAAAATGCATCACCTGCACCAAAATCATTTTCCCCAGTACTATTCTGACGGCAACCCTGCACAAAATTTAAAATATTACCGTAAATATATTGGTCAATAAAGAGATCTACAGTAAGAGAATCTGGAATGCAAACTATTCGTATGCCAAAGCCAATTAAAAATTTCTGACATTTCTATCCTGAACCTTCTTGTCTACTTTGACTTAAAAGGAAAAATATTAAATAAAGTCCAATTCCAAGCAAAAATGTTATTAATAACTTAATTAAGCAAGCCTATGAGCAAAACAGGTTTTGACAAAAGGTCCAGTTCAATATCAAAAGCTGATTATAAGAAAATGTTGCTTAAAGAGTGATTAAAGAAAACAAGATTCTGAACTTACGGGCAAAAGATACATGAAAACAAGAATTTTCCACAATGCATTTTATACTTATTTTATGAGCGACAACACGAATGAAGTGATAAAGAATGAGAAGAACAACAGACAAATACAAATTTACTACATTAAGTTAATAAAAAAAAATCCGTACAATGAGGGAGAATTTTTCTGTAATTTGTAGAGTAAATAACTATGATCTACTGTATTTATGACCAATAAATATATGGATGACGAATTTTGCCATAACTAATCTAGTATTTCATTATCCATGTCACTTTGTCATATCACTCCAAGTTAACTACACTCCAAATGAATTTATTCGTCTTTAAAGAAGGCTTCCAAGTACTTGCTAAACAAACTCAGGTGAAAACTCACCAAAACAAAAATAAATCACCAAAATTGTTTGTACCTTAATATTATATATGCCAATTTTTCCATCGAAGGAAGATGCTGATATTACTCCAGGTATCTTAGGATACCAATGCACATCAAAATTCCAGTTGGTCCCAGCTGGCAATTCATAGGCAATCTGTTTCCACCCCACCCAACCCAAAAAGAAAAATCATCACCACTGAGCAAATGTTCAATAAACATAAAGTTCAATGCAATCAAAAGTTCTGGAATTAATCAAACATAATCTGAGATGGGAGAAGGCCAAACACTACCTCTCCGGAAATCATGTCCCAGCATATAGTTCGGCTATCTTTACCACAGGTAAGCAAATAAGAGCTATCATTGGGACACCATGACATTGCAATTACACCTAATATTGGAAATTCAGGCAACAAAACCAAATCAGATAAACTGAAAACAGTGAAAAAGACTGTAGCTTCCAAATAAAACTACAAGATACAAAAAATTAAGATATTTTAGGCAGCCTATAAATGAGAATCTTACAGTACATTATACTTGATTTGAAAGCAAGAGCCAGAAAACACAGCTTTAATAAAAGAAGGAGCATAGCATAGATAACAAAAAATATAACTTAAAATAAACTATCACTATATAAGACAAAGATGCCTACCAGGGTTTCTGCTCAGAAGCCAAAATGAAAGTAAATATCACTACCATCTAGCTTTCGGAGGGACTTAACAAATAGAGATGGTAAAACAGGTCAACCCGTCCCCACCTCTAGCCCACCAGAAATGGAGCAGGGCAAGGTTGGTCGTCAAGCCCACCAGAAATGGAGCAGGGCAAGGTTGGTCGTCATAGTCAGGACGAACTATAAACCTCAATTCGTTCCACTAAAGGACAGGGGGACAGGCTGAAGGACTATCGGACCAACCCACCAATAAATTTTTTTATATAATTTTTCTATATTATTTTTTAAAAAAACACACCTTTAATTATATGAATAATTTTTAAGTTTTTATTAATTAATATTTTTATCAGATAAATTAAAAAAAATACTATATTTATGTATTAAAATATCCAATTATAATCAATAATTTAAGCTTAATTGATTAGTATTTATAATTTAAATTATAATATTATAATATATTTCCATATTTCAACAAAATAATAAAAAAATATTTTTAATTATAATATTTTTTATTTTAATTTAATATATAAATATTTGTTAAAAGCGGGTCAGCCCACCAGCTTGGCAGGCTAGGGAAGACGGGTCAAAACGGGTGAACAAGCTAAAATTGCCAACCGCCAATTTTAAGGTGGGCTAACATACCGACCTGGTGGGCCTAACTTATTTTGTTATCCCTATTAATAAGTATAGACTTAATTATACCTTGATTTTCAGGTAAACTGTCCAATTCAAGCACATATGGGAACATTGGTTCTATACTATCCACAATATACAAGAAAATCAATGCCATAATCCACTTGATTGGATACCAGTCCAAAAAGTGGAGTGTTTGGCAGTGTTTTTCCAAACAAGGAATATAACAGGCATATGGTAGAATAATCGCATAATCATAGGAAGCAAGGACTCCTACTTACATCTTGAAATTTTTCCACTTTCATTTTTCTAAATATTATTTTTTACACAAATAAAAGTGGAAATACTATATAATTCTCTTTTAATTTAAGCTTTTGTGCTTTTCTACTGATACTAATACTAATTCTGTATACTTTACCATATCTGAGCAAAGTCATGTCCCAAAGTCTCTAAAATTTGGCATTATGTCAAAGTCATTCCCACATAGTATCCATGTCTCTAGTCATGTCCAAGCTTCGTAGTACTATGTCAACCTCGCTCTTTACGTATAAATAAGACAAACTTTATAAAAATAAGAGAATAAGAAGATCTACAATTGCCAAAAGCTCAATTATCTACCCTGACCTGTATCACAGCTAACATTACTTGCTCACTTTCTCCCATGTGTTTTTGTTTTTTAACTAAAAGATTAATGGGGAAGGAAATTAAGAAAAATAAAATTCAACAAAAAGAGAAGGGAGCATTGACAAAGACTACCATAAGAATTATAAACAAATTAACAGGTGCCATTACCTCTAGTGTGTCCCACAAACTCCTTTATCGGTGAAATTATGTTCCTCATATCCCAAAGCTGAATCAACATGCCCTTATAAGGTCAATTAAACACCCCTTGAAATAAAAAGAGAAATATTCTGCTGTAGCTATACCATACCCTCAAAGAAGGAGAGCCATCTTCATCTGATGCAACGACAAGTTGTGTGGCAACATCGGGATTCCACTGCAAAACAGAACACCGCCTTCTAACTGAATCTGCAAAGCTGCCAGTTCACAAATGATATATACAGTTATATTTTTTGGTAATAGCATACCAAACTTCTTCCAAAACAAAATGCACAAAATGCAAAGTATGAACAATCAGGTTACCTTATCACTGGCTTCTGCTTCTTTAGGTCCCAGACCACTGGAAAAATAAAACCAAAACATATGCATTATTCCACCAAAAATATATAATTGAGAACAGAATGTAACGAATAGATTAAATTCCTCCATCACCTGTGGTTCCATTATATGAAGTAGAAGCTAATATGTGTTGGACTTTACTGTTCCAAGATAAGAATGAAATTTCTCCCTGGGAAGCAGAGCCAGTACTCTGCACCATTACCATATACACTAAATGTGTGCAGTTTATTAAATTAAAAAGACAAATGTCTGAACATTTGAACATATTAATCCATCAAAGCAATGGCAAATGTACGTGAAATGCACACTCTCAAGGGAATAATCTCTAACCTTTAGTGGTGGGAAATGTGTAGGCTCAGAAGGATTGACCAAATCCCATATGCAAATTTCACCATCCTCAGCCCCGGATGCAAGAAGATTTGGTGCAATGACATTAAACTCAAGACCACGAACCTGAAACATAAAATTATCCAAAATAGAATTTTAAATTAAGCAAACAATACATATGGTCCAGAACAATGAACAATTAAAGCTTAACAGGGTGGTTATAAAAGCAAAGCAGAACTTACTGGTCCTTTATGCCTTACAAGGTGTCCAACAAGAGAACTTTGATTTGACTCCGAGCTAAGAAAAGTAGCCAAAATAAATAAATAAAATCATTGGATAAGCAAAGTAAATATTGTAGATGAAACTAAATCATAACTTGAATGAATTAAGCAATGAACCAAAATATTCAGAATTACAAATTATTTATCAATGATGCAGCGTTTATTTACTCCAACAGAAATTATTGCCTTTCTCTATTTTGTGACAACCACTCTAAATAGTGTTATAATAAACCTTCATCCTTATTCTTCCATAATTTTCTTATATGAAGAAACCACTACACCCACTCGCTAGGAGGGTGAAGGAACAGTAACACAAAGCTGCACAATTCTAACAATTTCAAAATATAATGAGCAGCGATGAAAGCACTTAAAAGGATTACCAAAAGAATAAGCAATTTTTATCTATGAGTAAAAGGGTTGGTCAACCCCTTCCACCTGATGCATCCTTTATTTTTTTCCTTTTACTGGATGCTTTGGGAGGATTAGCTTACCTCCCTGCTTGTTCGCTATGTTCTTCCTGATGAAATATTTTTTTTTTCTTCGTGAAGTAAAAGACAAAAAGAAAAGCAAACAGTACTGTACAGCAATACGATGCATTCATAAACTACTATTTAAACTCAAAATAATCTTTAACCACCAAATGAAATTTGTAGCTATATTATACCAAAAAGTAATAATTATATAATAATAAAGGTAACAATGATGTCAAAACGAGAAATGAGCAATTCGAAATTGAATTTGAATTGCATCAAAATCGTATTATCCAATAAAAAATTCCAGAGCTTCCTTCCCTAATCACTGATGTAGAATTGATACTCCAATCTAATTCATGCATCATACTATTAATCAATCATCCCACGAGTCATTAAAACCAGTCACTCAGCCAAGTTCCTAATTCTGCATCCCAACCGTATTTCTGGGAGACCATCAAACACTAGAAACTTCAATCTCCACAAACACATGCCATTTCCAATATCAAAACAAAAGCAAGGCGCAAGAGAGAAAGGCCCAATTACCGGATCAGGGTGAGAGGATTCCAGATGTCAATGTTGCCATCCACCAATCCACCGGCAACGAGGCCGAGAGCGAATCCATCGGAACCAGAACCGTTCTTCCCCCACGTGAGACGGTTGAAGCGGTCGGAACTCGGGCACTCGGCGACGAGAGGCAGTTCCCAATCGTCGGACTGAAAATCGAGCTTGAATATCTCGAGATTTGCGGACGAGCTAAAGGACAGATCAACGGCGCCGGCCATGGTCCCGGCCGCCAGGTACGGCGCGTCAGGCGCCAGCGCCACCGACGCCGATCGATTCACCCCTTTGATGCACGCCATTCGATCTCCGAAAACCTAATTACGCCGAAACCACAAAATTGAAATCGGAAATCAGAAATTTCGAGTGCGTGTGGAGAGCGGAAATAGATCTGGAAATTGGGAATGTTTGGATCTGATCTATGAAATGCGAGAGTGAGAAGAACCACTCTCTCTTTCTCTCTCCGTTGTTGTTGTTCCTCCTTTCTCCTCTCTCTCCGTTTTTCTACAAATTAATTTTGCTTTATCATAGCTCGTCGTTTTGAGTTTATAGATACACTTGCTGTGTGACACACTTTGGGCTTTGTAAGGGTGCTCCTGTCTATAACGTACAACCGTTTAAGCCAGGCCTTGGAGAGGTGTAGGAAAACACGCCGCACTGGATTATTATTTCCTACAAGGTACAACACGAATCAGTGGCAGATCCAATTAGTAATTGACACGTATGATATTTGTGAGACAATTTATGGTGCATTTGAGACACTCAGATGAAATTATGGTGAGATTAAAATTCTCTAATCCATTGATATCTTGATATTTCTATTACTCCCTTCGCCTCTAATCTTAACTAAATTATCTTGATTAAATTAAAAAAAAAAAAAACAGTAGTTGAATGTCTGAATTGGAAGTAAGTAATAATAATAAAAATTTATTACATTAAAATCAAATCAAAATAAAACTGACTTTTTTAATAAATAAATAAATAACATAATAACTACAAATTTTTTACATGGTATATTAAATATTCTTGACTAATACCTTTAATTGAGTAAGAATGTAAATAAAATGAGTTAATTAGAAACTATTTAATCTCTAATTGCTATATACTTAATTGAACTTGTTTATAATTTGAATTTTATTATTTAAATGATAAAAATTTGAATTTTGAAATATTTGTATTTTTTTTTAAATTGTATATATATATATATATATATATATATATATATATTAATATGTATATGTTTCTAACACATTGATGTTTGTCTGAGTTTTTTCTTCAAAAGTACTTTAAAATTAGAGATAAATAAGTCAATTGTTTAGTTTTTATTTTAACTTTTAAAAAACGATTAAAACTAATATTTACTTGGAAAAAAATATATTTAAATAATTTCAAACTAATTACCTAATTGAAAAAAAATATTTTGTAAAAATAATTAGCCGTTACATTTATGTAAAATCAATTTTCACATACATAAATTTATTATAATAGTGATGACATAAATACATAAAACTTTATATATATATATATATATATATATATATATAACTTATCAAAATTATTTAATTAATAGAAGGTTATTAAATTTAAATTTTAAGTATTGGTTCCAAAATACACTTTAAAAAAAATCTTGTAAATAATATAATGCAGTGCAGAATGTTTAATTCGGTGCTTAACAAATATTTATTTTTTATAATTTTTTACATTAGAATTGATGGACGTGGTAAATACACTTTATTAAATTTTACTAATGGAATAATTTTTTTCTAAATAATTTCAACAATTATGTCTAAATTTTTATTTTCCAATTTTTATTTTTCATTTTTTAATAATAAAAAATCAATCAATTAATTTTTTTATTCTTTATATTTAATATTTTGGAAATAAAAAACTTATGTCAAATTTTAAAAAATTATTAAATAATATTTATTTTAAATGTGGAATTTTTTATTGCAACTGGGTCTTTGGTAAAACATATTTAAAAAATGTTTTACAAATTAAAATTAACAAAAAAAGTACATATTTATTATTAATAAATATTTTTAAATTTTTATTTCCATTTTTGTTATTTCTCTCAATTATGTAATTTCCTTATTATTGATATATAAAACTTTTATACATATCAAAATAAATATGTGAATTTTTTAATTATTTTTTTATATTAAAATAATATCTAATTATAATAATTAAATTGTTTATAAGTTATTGAAAGGTAAAAAATAAATACAAATATTATAAAAAATATGTTTTTAAAAACTACTTAAAAATGACGTCACCTATGTCTCACTTACAATAAAAATACGTTGCTTCTAAATGTGAGCTAGAGATGCTCTTAGTAGAATAATTTTCTTAAAAAGTAACTCAAACCCAATTATGTTATTCTATTCCCGCTTATAATACATACTTCACCATTTTGGGCTAAAACGAGTAGACTTAAAAATCGATTTCTAAACCTTATATATTTTCAAGCAAATTTTGGTTCATTTTAGAAGGTTAAATTATATTGTGACCTCACGTTTATAACTCACATAAATTATAATAATTACTATAAAATTATTATTTTTTTCTTAAAGATCAAATTTATAGAATTTAAATCTTCATTGTTCTTTATTATTATTTATATATAGTTGAATTTATTGCATTCATGTTTTAAATCCACAATTTAAATTAAAATGATAAAACAAGACAAATTTGGTGAGTAATTTTGCTAGTCCAGTATAATTAATATTTTTAACCCCTTTCTACTAAGCCTGTTGGGCCAACCTGCAAGAGGCTGTTAGTTCGTAATCACTTAATTGATAACAAAATATTATAATAAATCAAAATACAAAGGTAATATATAAAAATGAAAATTTATGAAAAAAAATTAAAAAACTTAGTCATATTTAGTAAGAGAAACATTTTTCCTTTATAAACATAAATTATTATATTTCCCATCTTTTCCTTATTCAACATCTCCTTTTTTTTATTTTGTTTATCATAAACATTAATTATTCATATTCTCGTGACTTAAATTAAAAATATAAAAATTTTATAATATATATATATAATAATTTTCATTTGAAATATTTAAATTTTTTAATATAAAAATATAATCTTTTAAAGTTTTAATGTTAGGTGCATATATATATATATATATATATCAATTTATATTATTAATTTTAAATATATACGTTAAATTATAAATAAATAAATTATTTATTATTAAATTTATTAAAAAAATTGATTTAAAAATTATAAATAAATTTGTTTTAAAAAAATTAAAATAGATTAATCACCTTCAATAAACGCAAATCAAAATTTATGTATTTATTATAGTAAATTAGTCACATAACACTCTATTTTTATATAATCAAAGATGAGTGCAGAACGCAACCAACTAACTTGTTTTATTGTCCCTAATTTATACAAATGATAGTAAGTGTTAAATAAATTTATTGATAACTTTGATTATATTATATAAAAAATTATTTATTTTGATTAAAGAATGGATTTAAGAATAAAAGAGAGACAAAATTAAAAATATTCTTATTATAAAAAGATAATAAAAAGTAATAAAATAAAAATTGATAAAAATTTGTGAATAATTTAATTAATACAAATGATAAAAAATCTGCCACCTTCATACAATCTACTCAAGTAAATACATGGTATCAATGAAAATCTTTTTAAAAGATAAATATATATATATATATATATATATATATATATATATATATATATATATAATCCAATATATTCAATGTAGAAATAAAAATATTTAATAAACATCAACATCAAAATTATGTTAGAATGCTTACGACAAAATATTGTTAGCGCTATGAAGGTCAAATTAATTTCTACCTAGATTTGAAAATTAAATTTAACATGTTTTAAAAAAGTAATTAACCTTAGTTTTTTTCCCATAAATAAAACTTCAAAAACATTTGACATAGACTTGTTTCTATCTATACACCCTTGAAAGACTTGTTTCTATCTATACACCCTTGAAATTATTTATCCACAGGACTCAAATTCTTCATTAAAAAAATTAAATGTAAGGCTCTTAAAAGCCACTTTGTTAGAAGAAAAAAATAAAAAATAAAAGAGGGAGAGACTAAGAGTGGAAATAGGGGTTAATATTGATAATAAGTTTTACAATTTCTTAAATATATGAGAAAAAAATTGTTATAAATAAGATTGATTAATCACTTTTGGTTTATTGATTTGATTGATATTATGAATGTTTATTTATAGTTTATTATTATAAAACTTTTAAATTGAATAAACTAAAGACTTCTAAAAAATATATAATAAATAAATAATGATATAAGTCAAGTCAACCATTCAAAGGTTACTTTATTTATTTATATTTTGTTTGAATACAAGAGAAATAATTTTTTTTTATAAAAGGTAATAAATCACGAATTATTTTAATTAAGAAAAAAGACAAAGTTTTTTATTAATAAACAAGATTGTTTATTTTAATATTCATTACTATTATTAGTAAAATAACAATAAAAAATAAACAAAATATAATTAATTATGTTTAGTTTCTTGATAAATAAAATATTTGATAAATTGTCGCTTTTACGTGTTTTATTCTTACTATCTTAAAAGTTTTAAATTGAATAAACTAAATACTTTTAAAAAATAAATAAAATAATCAAATTTTTGATTTACATATAAGTCAATCATTCAAAGTTTATTTTATTTATTTATTTATTTATTTATTTATTTATATTTTGCTTGAATAAAATAATGAAAAAATGAAAATTTGTTATTAAAAAAATATTAAATTAGGAATTATTTTAATTAAGAAAAAAATAAAATGAAAATTATTTTTATTAATAACAAATATTGTGTATTTTAATATGTGTTGATTATTATTATCATTATTAAAATAACAATAAAGAATAAATAACATATTTGAGATATAATTAATTATGTTTAGTTTCTTCGTAAATAAAATATTTGATAAATTGTGACTTTTACTTGTTTTATTTCTTACTATCTTAAAAAAAAAAAGTTAAAAATCGTAGGTTTTGTATCTCAAAATTTGAAAGAAGGTTAAAACATTTTGATATATTGACGCTTTTACGCGTTTTATTTCTTACTGTCTTTAAAAATAAAAAATTAAAGATGGTTAAAGAAAAAGAAGAAAACAATTGACTTGTGTGGGAGAAAAAGAAGAAAAAAATTTGAATTGTGTAAGAGAAGAAAATACAAACCTCTGTTTTATTAATTTTATTTTACTTTAATTTAATATTCTCTTACTCGCATATTAATTTTCATTTAAATAACCGTAAATTTTATATATTTTTCATTTATTTATACTCTATCCTTTATAACATTATATTAATAATATTTTTTATTTGAAAAAATGGGTTGAGGTCGACATAAGTTGCCATTTTATGCCAACTAAGTTTTTTCTTATGACACAACCTAAACTAATATATATTTTTTTTACAATCTCTGGTAATATTTTATGAAGCCACTCTCTGTTCCCATTTTAATTTGTTTAATTGTCATGGATTGTTGTACATTTTAAACCGCGTAAATAATTTCTGGTGATTTTAAACTGTCAATGAGGGTTTAAAATAATTTATTTTATTTATAAGATAAAGGTAATTCTTTTAAGCAAAGATGCTCTAAGATTCAATGAATAGAATTGGCAATATCTAATAAATAAGGACAAAATAAATATAATAAAAATAGAGCCAAATTCACAATAAAACAACAAGTTTAGATAAAAAGATGCACAACTACTTGAAAAAAAAAAAAAATTGTAATATTGTAATCACTCTGTCTGATTTGTCTCCACGGGTGGGGTGTGGCGATCCATTGGGATCTTGATCTTGCTGAGTGAATCAGCAGGAACGAGTTTCAGATTCTCACAGTTGCATATTTCCACCATGAACCCATCTGGGTCGTTGAAGAATATTTGGTCCATCTTCGTTCCATCTTCTGCCTCCAAACTCCTTTTCATGTACTTCACGTTCATCTCCTTCAATTTCTTCTCCATGGCTTCCAGATCTTCACACTAACACACCACAAACACTAACCACATCACCAACTAGTGTAAGCAACAATCATGGTTGAATGTTGTTTGTTTGCATAACGCCTGTAGAAAAGTGACACCAAATTCATAAGAAAAATTGTAACTTAATGTATACCTGGAAAGATATATGGTTGTCCTGGGGATCCAAGTGTTGAGTATCCGAAGGCAATCTCTGATCTTCTTCCTTGGACTGCACCAAGTGGATACCAACACCATAATTGAACAACCATGCACCCTCGAAGTCCAAAGATTGGGGCCTCTCGATCAGAACAAATCCCAGCACCTTCGTGTAGAAATCCATCGATTCCTTCACATTTCTACACAGCCTTGAAACGTGGTTCAGAGCCATCAATGGAGATGGGTTCTCCTCCTTTCCTTCCCTCTCACCACTCTCTGTAATTCTCTCATCTCTTGAATCATCCTCTCGCTTTTTCTCCTCTCCTCCAACCTCTTGCTGTTGCATTTTACTCATTAATTGTGCCGTCGAATTCGTAAAACCCTTAACAAAGTTTAAGCAAACATATATTTTGATTGGACTTGGCGGTGAAATTTTACTCTTCAGTAGATTGAGTCGGTCGTAAACTTACTATAATTACATTTTAAACCGTAATTGAATAATACTTAAAAAAAAATACTAAATTTAGTTTAACTTAACTACTAGTATTTGGTTGAATTAATATTTACAAATTTTAATTTAATGAAGCGCTTGGTGGTGCGAGTAAATGATAACGATGGAGCGTGAGTAGACACGTGGAAGAACGTGCAATTGGAAGGTTGTACGTGTAAACCTTGCATTTTTTTACGTACAAAAATTGGTTTCTACACGCGGTGACTGCAAATGGTGCGGTGCGGTGTTCCCTTTGCGGTGTTCACTTGTGTGTGATGAGTACGACGTTGTCGTCATGTTCATTTTTTTATTATAATATTTTTGCCAATTAAAAAGAAAAACTTAATGAGGAGTTATTTTAAATAAATAACGAATGAAATATATTGATAATATTTTTCTCTTTCAAAAGTTTAACTTGATCAGTCTAACAACACATTTTTCAAATATATGATTATTTACATGCAAATTACAATATTAAAAGAACTAAACCTATTAGCATGTAGAAAATAATAAAAGAATGTTTCGTTAATATTAATTTTTTTTTCAAAAGGATAATTTTGGACAAATGTAATAATGCTACTAACTAAAGTATTTTATTTTTATCATCATTAATTATTAAAGTATTTTTTAAAATTTTATTATAATTTTTTATGATCAGTTAAAATTATTAAACAAGTTTTTAATTTATTTCAAAAATAAATGTTTAAAAACTAAAAATAAAACTAAATTAAAAATATCCATAAATAGTTAAATTGTAGCATTGATGATGCATGAGAAGGAGAAAGTGAGATCCAGAGTTCATGGTTGTAAGGCAAGTGGTGAGTGAGTGAAGTGAATGATGGCGAAGGAATGAACGCCGGATAAGGATTTGTACCTAGACCAGAAGATGAGGCCCACACGCAGAGGCCCACAAAAAAGGGGAAGAAGTGAACTTCACACTTTCTGAATTCTCTTATATATTATAGTTTATAAAAGGAAAATGTAAAACAAAGAAAATCTGGTTTTGTCGCCGCCGTGTTCCACTCCCACCACACAGTCTCACGCACCAACCAACCAACCACCATAACCAATTTCTCACTCACTCAGTCACTCTGTGGCTGTTGGAAGATAATATCGGAAGATGTTTAGGGACGTGTCTAGCTGCAACACCTACAACTACGGCGATGCTCTGTATTGGGACGCGCGCTACATCCAAGAGGGTGGTTCCTTCGATTGGTACCAGCGTTACTCTGCTCTCCGACCTTTTGTTCGCAATTTCATCCCTCTTTCTTCCAGGATTCTCATGGTTGGTTGCGGCAATGCTGGTAACGCTTTCCTCTTTCTCTTTCTTCATTTCGCTCTCACACCAACACAAACAACACAATACAATCTTTCTTCTTCTGCTCTAACTTCCCAAACTCTGCTTTTACTTTAGGGTTTTTCTCTTTTGAGGATTGCAAACGTTGGATCTTATTTTTTTTGTTAATATATCACTTCTTTGTATTTATTTCCTGCTTCTCTGGAAGGAAAAGAAGATTTCATTCTCGAGTAACTTTGAAAGTGAGCAGCTGCCAATTGATGGGTTAGATTTTAAATTTTTTATTTTCAAATCTGGTTTGTGCCATCGATTGCCAATACTCAGGAAGTTTAAGTAGTGATACGATCATCTGATGGACAGGAGGATAAATAAGGATTTCCTTGGCAATTGGTTTGTGAAGGATGAATCTTGTTAATTAACACGTAATGGATTTGGTTGGAGGTGAAACCTGCGTTATAGTTTGTATAGATGAAGTAATTGTTCACATAACATTTGCAGCTTTGATGGATTAAACTGCTTTGCGTATTGCAAATGCGGTGCTTGCTGTTGTGTAAAAACAGTCGTTGCTCTGATGCTTTGTTAAATTATTTATGGAAGAAAATAACTGCCCTGAAAAAGGAAGAAGAGGTTCTAAAGATGTGAGAGTTACAAAATAGTTTAGGCAATTGTACTCGAGCAATGGGGACGGCGGTGGTAGATTTAGTTTCCATTCTCATTCTCTGTTACTTGTATACGTACTTAAGTGTGTTTGAAGCTGTTTTAGTTTTAAACTGGAGCTGTAATTCCGTTATTTTCGAAATTAAGGTATTAAATAGTGTGCTATAGTGGCGGGGTGGCTGCTATAAGGGTTGGAGGGACTATTTTTGGAATTTTAATTTTAAAAATAAAATCTAGAGCTATAATAGTAGTGAAAATGATAAAGAAGACTACTTGAATTCTAGCCTAGGAAATTTGTGTCTGACCTTTTGTTAGTATTTACTAGTATGTTTTGTTTAATACACCCATGACATTTTATTGTTAATTATGAATGCCATTAACTTTATATTCTTTAAGAATTTATAGTGTACATGGTGTAAACTGCGAATAAGAATTTATATATATAGAATAATGGCTATCATGCTATTCACTATCTGGGTATTTTGGGACCAATCGTTACACACTACTATCCGGGATTTAAAACATTGCTAGAAAGAGGTTATTGATTGATTGAATGTGAGCTATTCATAGGCTTATCGCAGTCTAATATCTTATCATTTGCCATCTTACTTATATGAAATTTATCATGAGTGAACTATCGAATTCATATTTTTTGGAGAAACTTACAAGGAGAATACTGTCATATTTTACAGTTATGTCTGAGGATATGGTCAAAGATGGTTATGAGCACATCACGAATATTGATATTTCATCAGTTGCGATTGAGATGATGAGAAGAAAATATGAGTACATCCCTCAGCTAAAATGTATATGAACAATAAGGTTTTTTTTTTTAATCTATGTTACTTTATAACTTCTTCAAAAGGCCCTAAAGTCCTTCAGTTTTCTTTCATGAATCTCACTAGATTTGCAGATGGATGTCAGGGATATGAGCCTTTTTCCGGATGAATCTTTTGATGGTGTTATTGATAAAGGTATTGATGACTCCTTTCAATACAAAATTTGTCTAAATTAAAGAAATCTAGAATGTATACATGTTTCATAATTCATATACTGATGCTACTTTGGTCTCGCTATTACATTTTGACCGATCCTTTGTTGATGCTTGATCTAGGAACTCTCGATTCATTGATGGTATGTTGCTTTAGTGATTGTTCTCATAATTTATGGTATCTATTTTTTCTCCGCATGCTCTAATTCTCAAATTTGCTTGTATGTACTTCAGTGTGGTACAGATGCTCCAATTAGTGCTTCTCAGATGCTTGCAGAAGTGTGTAGGTTGTATAGATTTTGATGAGAATAAATTTCTTCAGATTTGAACAGAAGTTTTTAGTCATCTTGTTGTCATAATTCTCACTAATTATGCCTATTTTCTTCTGTGCAGACTTCTAAAACCTGGAGGGACTTATATTTTGGTAATATTGTCTTCTATTTCTATATATTAGAATAGTTGTATGTCTTTAATGAAAGTGTTTTCAGGAGCTAATATTCAATGAAAATGTTTTTAGGAACTCTTTTTACAACAATAACATTTTGAGGAGTTTTTCTTAACTACTTGTTTCTTTTAATCTATCATTTCCGTTTATATTGTCAAATTAACTTTCAATTTTTTAAACAAATTATCAATAGTTAAAAATAATCCTGTATCATAGTATGAATTATTTACTGTAATTTAAAATAAAAGTTATAAGTTCATTAATTATTATTATGAATTTAAATGATAATATAGTAATATATTAAAAAATATATTTATTATAAATTATAGGTATATACAAATAATTTATCTTTTGTTTGTATTTTATAGGTCAAAACATTAGTTTACATGGATAAGGTTTTCTATGCATCAGTTATAAATTTTGCAATTTTGGAGAGTATAATTAACGTCTGAATGGTCACTTGGTTCAGATCACATATGGTGATCCAACAGTAAGGATGCCTCATCTAAGCAGACCTGTGTTCAATTGGAAAATTACGTTGTATAATATCCGTAAGTTCATCCCTTTCATTTTTTTTTTACCTAGAAAAAAGCCTTTTTTTTCATCACTAAGTGTGGATAAGTTGTCCTTTTGTAATTGGTTTAGAAGATTATTTTTTTATTCTGTTTTTGGTTGGATTATGAGCAAAGCTAGATGAACGTTAAGTATTTTAGTTGAATGTATGGACTCTAATTCCTTGCAGCAAGACCAGGATTTCAAAAGCCCGAAAGTAGTACACCATCGAGAAAATCATACTTAGAGCCCATCCCTCTTTCTGAAAAGGGCGTGCTCCCAACAGATTTTGTTCTGGAAGATCCAGATTCTCACTATATATATGTTTGTAAAAAGATAAATGATATAGAAATAGACAGTATACCCACGTATCAATTAACAGCTGATGTTTTATAGCACTGACTTACACTTTGATGTGCATCATATCATAGTCATTTAAGTGGTTGTTCTTGTCATCTCAACCACTTGGATAAGTTATCACCATCAATATGTTTATTGTTTGCAATAGTATTTTATACTCATAATTAGAGTAATGAAGTTAGCTTGCTGATTGAAATTATTAAAGTCTGTGAAGAAATCAGACAAATTGACTGATTCATGTATTGTTATACCTGTGATTTTTTGTATATTGTTATGCCTGTGATTTTTTGTATATTGTTATGCCTGTGATTTTTTGTGGATGAAGATGAATGGACTCTGGCCCGAATCCAATTATAATATAATCCTTGGGAGATTCAGAATTGTTCTTGCAAAATAGTTTCACGTGTGTTAGTCTTCAGTGTGACGCATAGTGGATGAGTAAGTTTGATAGACTCTTTTTGCAAATAAGTGGGTGTAAACGGGTTAGATGTGATCAAATTTATTATTTAATCTAATAAAAAAAATTGTGGGTTGGGTTGAATTTTTTTTTTTAACTTTTAATTAATAATTGGATGAGATCGTTTGAATGATAAATTATAAAAATAATTTTTATTATTTTTTTACTTGATTTTTTAAAACTGATTATATTATTTAATATTATAATAGTTTTATATTTAAAAATATATATTTAACTATATAATAATAAATTAAATTAAATAATAGTTATATTTATATCTACCATCAAATAAACAGCCCAAAAATATTGCACTATTCATTAGCAATTTACTGTGGTAAAGATAATAAAATCACCTATCCTACGTTAACACATAAAATATTATAATAATAAATTAAATACAAAATTTATGAACAAATTAGGCTAAATGTGACGATAACATCAAACACATCTTAAACAAGTTAGATTCTTCGTTTCTCACTACTTACTACACTTCTAGAATCATTTATAGTGCGTAACACATCAAATATTATAAGAAAAAATCAAATACAAAATTTATGAGAAAATTAAACCAAAAAATTATAACAAAATTAAACAAATCTAATTAAAGACAAATCTTACTTATGAAGAAGCGGCATGTAATTAAACTAAAAATATATTTTCACCAAACAAAATTGTATCTACATTGAAGATTTAGATTAATCAATTTACAAACACGTATTTTCTTCTGTAAAAAAAGATATAATGATTAGAATTTTAATTTATGTAACTTTTAGGACATATTATTAGAATATTTAAAAATCACAATGATAAAAAGATAGTTCCATTTAAACAAAAATACTACTCTAACTAAATTAAAAAAAGAAAAAAGAAAAAAAAGAGAGAGAGGTTGAGTATAAATGATGTTAGGTATGCAATAAAAACTTGTTAGACTTAGGAGGCTATTATGAGTACTATTCCACTTCAAGACGGAAAACATCACCCGCAAAAAGTTAACCAAGTAAATACATAAAACCTGTTCCTTATAATATTTCAAATTTTGAATATGCTTACAATTTGGAGGGGTCATATATGATATAATTGCTCAATGTAAACTTACTTTTTTAACATGAGAAAGGTTATTATAAAACATCCGTTTAGTCTATCTAAATTTATATAAATTATGATCTAAACCAATAAATTAAAATATGTTTAATTTAATTTAAGTTACAAAATTTTTAATCTTTTTTTTTGGATTATTTGAATTCAGTTAAATTTATTTTTACACTAGAATCCTAAAAAGTAAGGGTCTTATAATTCACAAAAATTTTTATGAAAGCTAAACGTGTGCTGAGATTGTAAGGACATTTTGACCATAATTCGTAACGCATATATTATCCACTTTCCTATAATTTCTAGGTATTGTTATTTTTGAACAAAATAATTAAATGCATTAAAATTATATATTTAAATTTCATACTTAAATTTTGTGTGTTTCATTTAAAAATCTTAAACATTTCATATTAAATAATCTTTTTTTTATGAAAATAATATTTTGTAACTATCATATAACAAACTTTCTTTCCCCACAACATGCATTTTTTTGTCCAAGAAAAAAATTAAATATTTGCGAAGTGAGAGAGAATATCTAAGCGTTCGGCCCAACATTAAAATAGGGTTAGAGGCAGTAGTCCAAAGGCCCAAAAACTTAATCTATGTGGATAACTTCTTCCTACACGACAGTAATTTCTTCTGTTCACGATAATATATAGAAAATATTTTTGAGGTCAAACATCATTTTTACTTTAAGGTTCAAAATATTTTGGTGATTTATGATTTGAATAAAATCCAAAAATGATTTTAAATTTCCGGAAAAATGATTTAAGAAATTTTTAGAAAGCTTTCGGAAAGGTATTTTCTAAATTATGGAGGTATAGAAAGAAAGTATGGGGTACAGAAAAAAGCAATTTCTGTATGAAAGGTTAAAAACGAATCAGAATAAGAACACCAACATAGCCCAAGCCCAGAACCTAGACAAAAAAATTGTGCTTTCAGAATTAAAGATGAAGCACTCTGAGCAAAATTCAACTATAAAGTATTTATTTTTTTTCCTATTGGAAAACAAATAGAAATTTTATTATTTTCATAAAATAAAATACTTAAAAAATTACTATCACAATTTTTATTTTATCTGAATTCCATTTCATGTTAAAATATTATTTTCAATTTAAAATACCAAGATAATAAATTTATGATCTTCCTTATTTTTAAGTTATTTATTTTTACAGAACGTGAAACTCTTATTTACATAAACTCCAACACAAGTAAACTTATCTTGTTCTTAAATCCTAATTGAGTTTATGATTTGTGTTTGTGATCGATTACAATTATTATAAAGTTCAAGACACATACATTTTGACAACTACTCTGTTATTAAGTAGAAAGAAAATTGTAGAAGTTAAATTAGGAAGCATATTGAAACACTACGAGTCTCATGTTTTTGGCAAAGAATGCTATGTCTTGATCTCATTAGTAAATCTTGGTTAGGTAGGTATTATGATGAGATATTTCTTAATGAACAAAACAATGAAAAGAATCCAAAAGAAAGTGCCCAAGTGATGGTGATTGCTCATAATTAATTTAAACTATTTTTTCTTCATGCTCACTGCACACAAGCTTGGAATTAATGGACACAAAATTTGAATGCAGAGGTAAACTTTTGTCTGAAGCAATTTGGGATCAAACTTTTAAGAGTAATTTATGGGAAACGAAACCCACGTAATTAGTAAAAGGCCTTTTATGGTTTCCTTGCCTTTTGTATTTGGAAGCATTTTTTAGTTCAAACAAAGACATGGCTTTCAGAAAATGCACGTTGAAGAGTGCAAACAAAAGGATTACCTTATCCTGCAATTTTTTGGTGGATCAATAAAAAATTATTAAATGAGAAGAAAAAGAAAACAAAACTATGAGATAAAATGATTGATGTGAGAGAGAGAGAGAGAATTTTTTTTTTATATAATTTTAAGAAATATAGAGTTACTTGCGCTTTCAGTAATCTCTGAGAACTTTTAAGTTTAAACTTTAAAAGTATAAAATTTAGATTATTATCATGGATAGAAAAACATAATTTTATATGACAAGTTGGAGAAACAACTTAAAAAAACTATCTTTTTAACCTTTTAAGTAAATATTCTCAATTTTTTTATTTGTTTGTTATTAAATGTGCATGATATTTAAATTCCAAAGGCCCCTAATTCCAATCTCTGAATCCATACATTTCCTCCATTGAATTCATTATTCTATGGTTTGATGGAATTTGACAGAAGTATTTTAGTTTTGGGAACACTTTTACGTGTAAAGATGAAACACAGCACTGGAGTTCAAACATGTGGATCTAAAATTGAAGCAAAGAAGTGATTAAGAGTTTAGAAATTAGTTTTTGTGCATTTTTGAATGGGGCTCACTTGGCATGTGCAGTGTGAATCTTCCTTCCTCCTTCTTCTCCGAACCTTGTATGTCTTTTCCATTAGCCATGTTCATAATTTGCACAAATCATGTCAAGCAAAACAGTATAAAAAAAGCAGACTCATCTGAATGACACCATTACAAAAGTCAATAAATGGGCACAATTATGATCCTAACCCTAAATTTAAAAAATAAAGTGATTCCGAAATTGAATAGTTATCATTAGCTACCAGAAAAAAGGTTAGCAGAATTTAATTTCTTCCTTCATCATTCTTCCTTTTGTCACTTTGCTTTCCTTTTTGACATTCTCTTGCAGTGACCCAATTCTTTTTCTTTTGCCCCCTTACCAAAATAATTATACTAAGGTTAAATTTTAAAAAAATTATCAGTATTACACCAGAACACCAACTGACAGTAACCTTCCACTATTCAGATTAGTTTTCATTGTTAAAATATCTATGCAGAGCAATTTAGGTGTTGAGATACACTTTCATTTTCCTGCTGTAGCATGCTTGTGTAATAAAATTGTACTCCTAAAATCCACTCATGTGGCCTAACACAATTGGAGGCTATGGAGAAGGTAGCTCTGAAGGTTCAATTTGGCCCACATGCTTATCATATCAATTTTGGGCTGCTCAATCAATCTTACCCCTTAACTCTGTCTTGGTTGTTGCAACTTCAAAAATCTAGAGCAGTTATTCTCCTTTCTACGATATGATAGTGTCATGGTGACACAAAACAGCTAGCTCCTTTTTGGCTTATTATAAGCCCATACATTCTAAATCCTGTTCTCTCATTTCCTATATATATTTGCCACTCTTTCTGAGTGATTCATCGCAGGAAGACATAATGGGCAAAGCAAGTAGTGCTTCTCTCCTTCTATCCTTTCTCACTCTTTCACTCTTTGTGGCAGAAACCTATGCAAATAGGCAAGTTCAAGCTCTTAACAAACTGCACAAGTCCAAGTTTTTCACAGGAAATTCACAAACTGATAGGAGTGAGTTTGAGGTAGAGGAGGTTGTTCTTGATGGCATTGTTCATTCTCAAGAGGGTCTCAAAGAGAAAGATAGAATTCAAGGGCTTCCAGGACAACCCCAAGTGGGTTTTTCTCAGTATGGAGGGTATGTCACTGTGGATAAACTTGCTGGTCGTGCCTTCTATTACTACTTTGTTGAAGCTGAACGTTCTCAACATACACTCCCTCTTCTTCTTTGGCTCAATGGAGGTAAACAACAACAATCTTAGATCTAATTACTTTTCAATAATGATGAAGTGTGTCATGCACCGGAACATGAAAGCTATGTTAACTTTGTTGTTTATTATTGTGAAAGCTTTACAAGTTACATGCTTTAGTCTAAGTGTGTGTTTGAATGAGTGTGAATGAGAGTGTCCACACACATGCACATGTAAATGTTTCTTTGCCTCCAATTCATGCTATTTTAAGGGACACATCAGTTACGTTTTAACCAAAAATGCCAAAGAAAATTCACAGGAATCTGGACTAAGATGCTTGCTAAATACATCTACAGAGAATTTTCCGTCCCTTACTCCCTTTTTTATCCGCAATGAGTATTTTCTCTGCTTTTCTTGTCAACAAATTATTGATTTTACTGAAAGTGATGTATGCGTCAATTAAGAAGACTGATACTAATTGTTCCAAACGTGCCAGCAATGCTACATGAACAAACCTTATATCCACACAATTTTTTATCTTTTTTTAACCGAAACTTTGGAAGTTCCGTTGAGCCCACTTAAATTAAGTTAGATCACGTGAACTCATTTAATAAAAAAAACTGAATTAATTCTTATATAATTAATTCAATATTTTTGTTACTTTGAAATAACTTATATATATTTATATATAATTAATTAATTGTTTTATAGGAGTTTTATATTGTTTATAACATAAACATTAATTAATTGAACTGTTTAAATTAATGTGCCGACCTAAAATTATTGTTAATGAACAGTTCATAGGGAACATGAGCTGTCATAATTATTCTATTCTCTAACTTATATCTTTCTGAGAATAAATGGTTCATAATTCTTCCTGGTGATCCATCATAAACATCTAGAAGGTGTTAAAATCCCATAATTCAAGCATCTAGACGATTGTTGCATTTATTGTAGGCGTCTTAAAAAAGTAACCATGAACAACCATGTGAACTCTACCAATGATTTTTTATGCAATGTGAATATTTATTGGCTATACAATAAATAGCATAAACTAACTTCACCACTTAAATTTTATCTATTTCCCCAATAGAAAAAAAGGTCAAACTTCATTTGTTTAGACAGGAAAAAAAAAATGTAGGCAGTGTTGTCAAAATTTGAAATTTAAAATGGCCATTTTCCACTTATAAGTATAATACCAAATTACAAATTAAATTATTGTATATATGTGGCTCACTGGTCTGGTCATCATGATGAACATACTATATTTTGTCAACTTGCGACCCTCATGTGCTTGTTTAGATGGTGGGGTAACAAAACCGTGCTTTTTTGTGTGTACAAGAAACATGAACACAAAAATGCTAACAAGAAAAACTTAACCTAATTATATATTATTGTGGTTTAATTCTTTATGATTTAACTTTTCAGGCCCTGGATGTTCATCTCTTGCATATGGAGCAATGCAAGAACTTGGACCATTTAGGGTAAACAGTGATGGCAAAACACTACACATGAACATGTTTTCATGGAACAAAGGTATACCAAAATCAAACTTTTCCTTTAGAAAGAAACAGAGAGTAATGGTTTATCTAACTTGTGGCTTAATTGGATTTTGAAGTTGCCAACGTTTTGTTCCTTGAGTCACCTGCTGGAGTAGGGTTTTCATATTCAAACAAATCAACAGATTATTCTTCCAGTGGAGATAAGAAAACAGCTGCAGATAATTATTTGTTCTTGGTGAATTGGTTGGAGAGATTTCCTGAGTATAAAAACAGAGATTTTTTTATTGCTGGAGAGAGCTACGCTGGGCATTATGTGCCTCAACTTGCACATACCATTCTCCATCATAACAAAAAAGCAAATAAAGCAATCATCAGCCTCAAAGGAATCTTGGTATGTGCACTCCTCTTTTTTCTTTTCAAATAGAAATAGTTGTTGTTATTGATCAATGTGTTAATTAGCCCTAGTGTACACTTGATGGGTCCTATATGTCGCATTAATTATAGTTTTGTTGAATAATAGGCTTTTTCTAAATCTTGTTACTTTCATGATGGGAAAGAAAGGTTTCGGATTGGTTAAGCTATTTGGGCCTGGACCAATCCACTTCTTCTTGGGTGGGCCCAAGTCTAGTGAGTTCATGACTCGTGACTGGCTGATTAAATTTAAACTGTGGAATTCTGGTCCTTGGTCTGATAATGCTCTGTCACTAATGACGTGATTCTTCATTTGTAATGTTTTGTTTTAGTGGACTAAGGACCAGATATGATAAGTGGGTTTTTAGGGCCTGTCCCAGTATGGGTGGATAAGGTGGTGGTGGTGACACATTTGTGGATTGGTCAATGGTCAGAGCCATTATTTGGATAAGTATGGAACCATAGCTAGCATTTGTTGAAAAGTGAAATATGTATCTTCCTGCTAAACCCTAATCAAAAGTTCACAGCTATCTACATAAAACCAACCTACACACTGCTATTAAAGTTACAGAAAAATAAAGATAAAAAATGGTATGCATGGTCAAATATTCACTCATGACATATGCTCTACAACAGGCGAGGAATTAAATCATGGGGACACGTTGATTCTAAAAAAATAACAAAATGGGAAAATTTGAACAGCTAGTGGATTTCCCGAGAGATATTCATGTAAGTATTTGTTAAACTCTAAACAGTTAATGTGTTATAAATGCCAAACAAACGACTGGGTACCCTTGAGAAGAAAAGAAACTGGGTAAGAATGATAAAGGATTGGGATTCTTATTATGTTTGATGAGAGATTGTTATTACAACAGTAGAACAAGGCTAACATATTAAGAATATACGCGTCTTTTTTTCACATTGTGCAGATTGGGAATGCAGTGATCAACGATGTCACTGACTCGGAAGGACTGTATGATTATCTCGCTAGCCATGCAATCATCTCTGACAGAGCAGCTTATGTGAACAAAGCTTGTGATTTCTCATCAAAGATTCAGAAAAGTGAGTGCGATGCAGCAGCAGAAGAAGTTGGGAATAATATTGCTTATATTGACTTATACAATATTTATGCTCCACTGTGCAAGAGTACCAAACTCACACCCCTGCCCAAACCATATTCTGTAAGCTTCAAATTTCAGTCTTTTTTCTCTCTATTTATTAATTTGAAAACTACGGAATACTTGGTCTAAGAGACTTCGGAAAAGTCGATATTGCATGAAGTTCACTATAATATTTGTTTTGCAGGTTGTGACTGATCCATGTAGTGAATCTTACGTGTATGCATATATGAATAGAAAAGATGTTCAAGAGGCTCTGCATGCCAATGTCACCCATCTTAAATTTGACTGGGAACCCTGCAGCGATGTCGTCAAGTGGGTACAAAGTGCTTCAACAGTCCTTCCACTTTTACATGAATTCCTCAACAATAGCCTCAGGGTTTGGATTTTCAGGTAAAAATCTTCATTCACCGTTAACATAGTATTTGTTAAAACTTGCAATTAACTTATCATATATCCTCTAATAACTAATTTTCCGTGACGGTACAGTGGTGACATAGATGGAAGGGTGCCTATTACTTCAACCAAGTATTCGGTTAAGAAGATGGAGCTCCCCGTTAAAACTGTTTGGCACCCTTGGTTTTCCCATGGGGAGGTAATGTAGAAAAAGTTACTTAGAGTCGATGTCTATCTTAGTTTTCCGTTGCTTTTTACTTGGTGTAAATGAAACACAGCTAATGATTCATATAGCATCGAAAGAATAATGATGAAGGGTGGTAGCTTCTTTTTTTTATCGTGCTTTATAGCATAAGAAAGCATTTTCAGTAGAACTTTGGTGTGACACAGGTGGGTGGCTATTCAGAAGTATACAAGGGAGGCCTAACATTAGCTACGGTGAGAGAAGCAGGGCATCAAGTGCCAAGTTACCAACCCGCAAGGGCGCTAACTTTGATCAAATATTTCTTAGACGGCACTCCTCTTCCTGGTCCTCCCAAAAGAAAAGCCTAGTTTCTGGGAATCCCGTTTCCAATAATTATTGTCGTAATGTTTAATTTCACGGAAAATAAATTCAATTATAGTTGTGTTTCTTGGATTCTATTCTTGTTGGCAATTTTTCATTGGTAAGACTCTTGTAAGGTTGTAAATATCATTATAAGCTCTTGCCAAAACATTAACATTACTCGATGTATATGGGGCAACCTCTCCGTCTTCAAACTTCATTTCACTAAAAGAAACGAAAAGTATTTTTAAGTGGGGCAAACTTCAGTTGTGATTATTGAAAACTTTGTCATGGTTTCTAGCAATATATTGTTAATGAATATGTACAACAATTATTGCTACGATACTTCTGTGATTAGACAAGTGGGAAAATCAATGACAAGTTGACAGCCATATTATTTTCGTGCGTCACATGGTCCTACTGAGCTTATCATCTATAAAAGCGATTAATTGGATTCCTGAATGGAGTACTCACATTCAAATGAGCACAAACCCAATCACCAAACGATTAATACAAAACCCTCCGCCAAACAGGATGCAAGAGTCGCTAAACAAGGAGTATAACCTACCTTATAAATTTCACATAAATTTTAACTAATAGTGAACATTATTAGTACAAGAGATAGTGCAAATAAATTTTAAAAACCAAAAATGAAATAAAAATCTAAAGTTGGTGTTTAGCCTACACTTTACAGCAAAAACTGGTGATTAAGATAGTCATAATGGTGTTGTAAGAAAGTGATAATCGTAATGGTAAATGCATAACAACTCGAATTGCTTGCATTGATAAAGAATATACAGTAATTACATGAAATCAGTTTTGTACATTTGATAGGGTATGGCAGTATGGTACTAAAACCATAGGTAAAAAAATCATGTAAATTGCACGGATTAGTTTATGTACAACTGACAGATTGTTAAATTTCAACACAGCCGTCGTCGTTCTCATCAATCTCCTTGTCCCAATCCAGTAACAACGAGGCGGCTGATTTCATCAACTCTGTCAGTCCGGTGAGATCCTCCAGGTATGTAGGATGATTAATTGCTTGAAGTAAGAACTCCATTCCTTGGTTTCGATACTCTGATACAACCTGAATGATTGCAATTTTAAAAAACATGCATGGAGAAAATGGTGATGATGTGTTCAACAAGCTAAGGTCAACAACATATCTTCATGAATATCCATTAAACTTTGCAGACAGCTACCCAATGAGAGGACAATACTCACTACTACTCCACAAGTAAAGAGAACTCTAATCAGTTCTTCATATAACTTTTTACCCAATTTCCAGCATATGGAAAATTTACTTGAGAGTTTGTTAATTAAATTACACACAAAATATATTCAATAATTGGAATTAATAATTTTGATAATTACAGTCCCAAATCCACCCTCGATGTGTCCAATTCCATATTCCACTTTTCCTCTATGTACAGAAATATTTTTCCACATGGCGCAGATTGAACATGCTTGATTTTAATGATTTTAAACTAAACCTATTAAGTTTGAAGAAAGTTGAGAAAACGCCTTAGTCTAAGTAATGATTCTTTACATTTTAACAATTAAAATTTAGGTAAATTAAATACTAAATCTTGTTCGCACAGTATCTCATACGCAGGTGTTATCCAAATCACTGAGGGAAGTAATGGAAAGCATACAAAACTTACTAACTGCAGATGCGAAATCAAATAACTACACTATTTGGCACCCAGACTTACTGTATGACTACAGGCAGTGCAGCTGGACGAGGAGTAACCTATAAGGGTCATTTGTGAAAATTGAGAAAGGGAACCGCGAATCTGATGAGGTAAAATACCAAGAGGTTGCTCAGTAGCTCCAGAGATACTGTTGTTAGTGTCATCTACTGCAAATATCCTGAAAAGGTATAGTTGAAATCTGAATTCATACAGGATAAATAAGGCAAAACAGATGGGATTTCATCTTTGGCTCTCTATTGTAATGCTTCAAAATTCTTGTACATAAAATCTATGTTTGCTGAATTACCCTTGAGGATGATGCATAATCCCGATTAGAAGTTCGACTGCAAGGGCTGAAGCAATAGGAGCCAGCCCTGGTCGGGTCACTGTACATTGTTGGTCCAAAGTGCGGTTGGATGTTGACTGCAGAAAGGTATAATGAATTAGTTATGTTACATTAGTTCAAATATCACACACAATGCAGTAGGAAATTACATCCGTTGGTGCAACAACATCACTGCAGAAATAACAGCCCAGTCTATGCTTTCCATTTGCTTCATTTACTGCCATATTAACAGATGAAGAATTAACAATTTCAGCATTGAACTTGTGAGCATGATTTAAAGGACCAGCTCCATGGCGCATAACTAAGAAACTATCAAACCCTAGTGCAGCTGTAATGGTAATCTGCAATTGATGAATAAAAAAAAATACATAATAAGCATGTTAGTTAAGCATAGCCAATCAAACAATAGAATCACGTGTTAAGCAGTTATATAATTAGTTAAAATCATCCCATTAATGAGAAGAATTAATCCAACCTTGTTAGTATCAGCACAGAGAAGTGTTGGGAGCCAACGACTTTCCCTTGTATCAGTCAATAAAAAAACCGAATCATGAGCATCAATCAAATCACGCAAACGTTTACAATCATCAAGAATGCTATCTTGTTCCTGGCTTTGTATGGGATGTCCAGGCATTGGTATAGCCATAACAATACCTTCTGCATCCTGAAAATGAACAAAATACATGTAGTTATGTGAAAAATATGATTAGCATAAAGAGAAGTCTTGGGGATTAATGATTTACCACTCCTGGAAATATCCGTTTGAGACTTTGAACTGCTGCTGTAGCTTTAAATTCACCACCATTAAGACAGTCATCCAAAGTATAAAGAGACTGCCTCAATGGGTTAGACATGGCCACCCTGCCATTGTCAACTAGAGTAATTTTTCGAACACCCCATGCCTGCAAGAGCACATTCTTTTTCCGTCATGACAAATAGAAGGAGGGTAAGAGTAACAATAGGATTTTCTCAATACTCACCATAAGCATGCGTGCAACCTGGCATCCAAGTGTGCCAGCTCCAAGGAGAAGACACTTTATGGAAGATAAGGCACTCAAGTTTAGAGAAGGCAAAGCACGCCACCTCATAAGCTTTAAATTCAAATCTGCAGCGGATATGGCCAACCTGAAAAAAAAAATTAAAAACAATAATACGAAACAATAGAAATACTGCCGAAATAAGTAGACATTATAGGAGTGAAAAGGGTGAATGAGTGGATAGAGAAAGAGAAATTAGAGAGAAAAATGAAGGCAAGAACCTGGTTGGATCCATTGACTGTGCAAGGCTTATACACCTAGAAGCTTTTCTCCCCTTATTAAGTTCCCATCCAACTGCACTAGGTTCGGCGTCTTTCCACCCTATACAGTTACTCCGTCCAGTTAGAAACCGAATAAAAAAAAATATAGACATATCAACCATTAGTGGTTGGTTACACAATACACAATTAATGCAACTTTACCTTGTGGAACTGTTATTAATGCTTCACCAACAAGGGACATCCTCATATCTGCAAAACCGCGGTTCTCTCTGTAGCAGAAAAATTGAACAGAGTTGAGATTCCACCTCGAAGAAATAAGTGCTAAGAAGTTGCGAAGAGGCCATCCAGGATTATTTGGAAGATGACATGGGTCATAAAATCCAAAAAGAATCTGCCAAAAGAATCTGGTAAATTTAATGAAAGGACATCTATAGTTTCACATTCAAAAAGCAATTTTACAAAAACTACATTTAACTATGCCTGCATTACCCTTTTGATCCTTGAGTTCCTCAATTCTCATGCTAGTGTACTCCCTCCATTTATAAAATTAAGAAAATCTGGTCCCCTCATCAACTTTATTCTACCTAAAATCTTTATATTCTCATTTGTTACTAAAAATCATTACAAATTGAATCAATTAAATTATCTTTTACTCAAACTTATCAACCAAAACATTAAGTTACACCCAAAATATAAAAAATCTCCAAAAAAATTATCTTCAAACTATAATCTTACATCTTACAAAATGATTTAAGTTTTACAAGTTTCAACTACATTTATTACTTCTAAATTTTAAAAACATTTCAGATAAAGAACCTTCATAAATGTCCCAAATATTTGGATAAATAGTAACAATTTGAGGTTTAAAAATAGAAGAAAATCAACAAGGAGACTAAATATTTTTAACTTTAAAAATAGAAGGACTTTATTAGCTCGAAAACAAAATTGGGGGTCTAAAGTTGCTCATAGTGTAATGTATAAAGACCAAAAGTCAATTAAACCTTTAATTATCATAACCAGAATTAAGAATGAGACCTTGTTAGCATTGCCTTGACAAGCTTCCCAGTCCTTCAGAAGCCTGAGAGTAGCACATGAGTTTTGGTCTATGGTGACTAAAAAGAATGGGACATCTGCACATGCTCGTTATAATTCGGCAAAGGATACCAAGTTAAAAAAGAAACAACAGAACAAATTCATGAAGTTACTTCCATGTGTGTTTTGAGGAAATTAAGAGATTTATACCTGCTGTTGATTTTGAACTACGCCACTCGTTACAAGCTGCAGAGAGGGATTCAGCCTAGCATTCCACAAAACAAAATAAAGTTATAATCAAACAAATAAGTTGGGTTGAGAATAATGAAACACACAGAACCTCTGCTACGCTGAACCACTGAGAAGCTGGCTTCAGATTAACCAAAGTTGCAGGAGGATCAAGCATGAGAGCCGGGAAAGCAAACCAGTAGTTGAAAGTCCACTTTTTCAGGTCAGCAAAAGAAATAACAAAGAATCTCGAAAGTACTGAACAGTCTTCCACAGCTTTTCCGGTTAGAATGTCATCCCAGATCTAATTCAACAACAACAGAAGGTAAACTCAAGTGAGATAAAAAGATTTCAATTCAATTTATCTTCCCTGGTGTTGTCTAGATGAATAACGGAATGGAATACTCTGTCTACCTTTGCTGCCTCTTTCTTCAAGATGTCATGCTTATCAAGTGCAAAGAAGCTCTCCACAGTATTAGTGTTGTAAAGTGTCCCCGGAACAGCACACCTGTTCCGGTTGCCGCGGCTCGGTTCAGGAATCAACGAACCCTCGCTCAATTCAGAAGGTAAAGACTCGGATGAAACAGTTAGGTGATTTGACACTTGAGAGTGAGAACAAGGTGCATAAAAGCCTGCAATCAAGACAGAGCATTCCAAGATGAAAGATACAGAGAAATATGCGAATTCTTTCACAATATTAGAAATGGAAACAAAGGATAAGAATAGTTATGCTGATAAATAAAGATCGAAGTAAAGAGAATAACCGAATATGTGAATAGGAGAATCGTCAATGCCGAGCTTGTTAAGCTTCAAGGAAGACAATCGGTGCCAGAAACCCTCGTCGACTGAGCTCTGCATCGGTGCGAATTGCAGCAAAGGCTCCATCGTTTGCCGTTCCTTTGGGATAGTAGATCTGTCTATGCTTCGTTGGGTCCCACTTCAACGATTTTCTAACTGATTTCAATTCTTTAATTTTCAGCAGAACTCGTCTTCGTCCTCCTGTCCCAGGGGATTCAATCGCTTTCTTCAGTCAACTATATAGCTGATTGTTTTTCATCACCCAAGAAAGAAACTTGTTTTACTACACCTTCTAATCGGGCCACATAGCCTCAGCTTTTTTGGGCCTTTAATTTTATCGCCTCTTCCGGCCCAATAGATAAACTTAATTTCTTATTTTACTGTCTACATTCTCACAACCTTCACTTTTGTCTTTGTACGCATAAAATAATCTATTTAGTTCTTACATATATCATTTTAATCATTATATACATATAAAATTTAATATATTTTTTCTCTTTGAGACGTCTCAACTCGAAGAACTGAAAAATATTAAAAAATATATAAATAGAGACTAAAAAAGGTGATTTTTAATTAAAAGGAAAAAATAATTGAAGATTTTTCAAATTAAAATCAAATTAATAATTCAACCTTAAGTATGTTTAGCAAATAAAAACATGGACATTTATTAAAATATTAAATCATAATCAATACAATCATTCGTATATGTTAGAAATAAAAATGATAATGAAGGGTGAAAGAGACAAGAATAAAAACAAAAAATCAATTTTAATGAAAAGAAAAAAATAACGAAATTTAAAATTTTAATATTATTTAATTTATAATTCAAATGAATTTTTATACTATATTAAAAGTAAGATATTCAACCCGTCTAAACATAAACTAGTTTAAAATCAATCTATTAATTTTAAATAATTAAATTTTAAGTATATCCATACAAAACCGAAAAAATCACCTAAACTTTTAGATTAAATAGATTTTAATAAAAAAAATAAAAATAAATATAATTTTTTATAAAGAATATAATATTTTTTTATCTTATTTAATTATAATTAACTTTAAATAATAATTATTTTATAATATTTTTATTTTATTTTATTTTAACAATTATTTATCTTATAATTTTTATATTTATTATTTATAATAATCATTATAATAATTTTTATTATTTGTCATTCTTTTCTAAAAAAAACATTATATTATTAAATTTTAATTAAACTTTTAAATTCTAAATTCATTTCTTTCCAATTTTAAAAATATTAGATTTTTAAGAGGCACTTATAGTTTAATTTGATTATTAAGAGACCTGTTATCGTGACAGGTAAATAAAATCATCATTATTAATTTTTTTCGTTCCAAAACTATCATGATGATCGAATTAATCTCCTATTACTATTTTAACTTTGACGAGTTAAAAGGTAATAAATAAAAAACAATAAATTTTGTAAAATGATTATAGTAGTAGTATTCATTGGCATTAACAATTTGACAAAACAATGTGAATGATAAATTATTCTAATTTTTTTCTTTTAAAAAAAATATATAGATAGATAGAGAGAGAGATAAATATTAATAATTTTAAATTTAATGTTTTTATTTTAATTTTAAAATGAGCAGATAAAATTATCAAAATTGCTCACAAATCATTCAATACATTGAACAATACCACTTGGTTGCTGCTCTAATGGCGACGTCTTGATGATACCTAGTTGGCCACCATCCTTCGTTGCCAGAGTCGCTGCTTTGATCTCATTGCATTGATTGATGAATTTGCTAACCTCCTGGCGCAAATTGAAACCAATTTATTTTAGAAATTCAATAATTCAAATATCAGAACAAGTTCACAAAAGATAAACAGTGTAGAGTGATATAATCGTTTCAAGGATAATTGAGAAGCATAGAAAAGTTATGAAAAGTATCACGAGGAAACCTAATTTCTTGTCAAACATTCACCAGCCGAAAAAAAAAACACTATTCACGATTAAAGATGAGGTAAAGGGGCTTACACGATCAGCATCCATATCCTTTGTGACCTTCGATGGCTTCACGAATCTCTTTCCTGCGAAGAAAAACGGTAAGGGATGATCACAAAAGATCTTACACTAGAAGGAATGAAAAGCAAAGGTGGGAAACGCTAAGACCTTTGCGAGTAACAGGGGCTTTCCCATGACGATTGGGAGGAATTGATTTCTTCTTCGCTTTACCCTTGAAAAGATTCGCCTTCTGCGTCTGATTTCTAGGGTTAGGGTTTAAAAATGCAATTGGTTTGGGAATTTGTTCTATCGCTGTGTGACTCAGTAAATTGAATACCGACCATGATAAAGGCAAGACCCCTTGCATTATCCAAATTCATGTAATCCTGTTTTTAGCAAATCCCATACATTTTGGATTGAAATTTGCAAAATATAGTTTTATATTATAAAAATTCCATTCCAAAATCTAGGTTTAACAAGAAATGTAGGAGCTCAGAAAGAAACTTTATTCTTGATACTATTTGTTTAAAATATTATATTTAAATATATGTTTTTAATTCCTTAGTTGTATTTTTGAATTAAAAATCTGAAATTAATCTTCCAAAAAAAATATAATTAGTCTCTTAAGTTCTTAAAAAATATATTGAAATTAGTCTTATAAAAATGACAGTCATCCCTTTTCGTTTACTCTATGTTACTTATACGACATGAGTAATGTGATTAGTGAATTCACACTAATATATATATATATATATATATATATATATATATATATATATATATATATGTCAATTTTTTTTAGATTTCTAGGGACAAAATAAGTAATAGTGTTTGACGGGATAAAACATTTTATTTTTATTAAAAACATTATTGTGTAGCACCACAAATCCAAAAACCGTTGTCTTCTTTTCGTTTTTTAGAACCTTGTGGGGTAATTTTATGGCGGTGTTTTATTTTCTATGAAAACAATTTTGAAATACATGTGTAGAATTTTTTTAAAAATAATGTATTATTGATGTTCAAATAATAAAGCTAAAAAATAATGGTAACTTGACCCAAAAAATGTGCAACATTTAGGCATTAGGGTTTTGACTGGTCATTTTGTATTTGAATTTAAAAATATAAAAGATTAACTCATTAAAACATTTTAATGTGAGGGAGAGTATGGTTGGTTTAGCTAAATTATCTTTTTCTTAATTAATTCCAAGAAAAAACTCCTGATTTCTGAAGAGAAAATATGAGGAAATTACCTTTCCCATTTTATGTTTAAAGATATAATTTAAATCCAAAACCTAAAAGAGCAATGTTGGAAAATAGATTAGATTATATTGGTTTTAAGAAAAAATATTAGATTTAATGTTGTTGAAATTTTTATTATATAATTGAATTAATTTGAATTTAAAATAAAATATGATATATTTCAAGTTGGATAAAGTAGATAAGTTTTTCACAGATAATTTTAATGTATTAAAAAAAAATTTCTCTTCCTCTCCCTCTATTACCTATTTTATCTATTTCTTGGTAAAATTTTATTGTGAAAATTTTGGGACACAAATAAATACAAGATGATAAACATCACAATAAGACACTATTAGAAAAATGTCAAATAGTTACAGAAATCGATGATCGAAAAATTTAGTTACTTATCGGTGACCGAATCGATAACCAAATTATTATTTTTTAGTCTAAGTAACCGAAATAGTAATCGAATTTTCGGTCACATAAAATCGGTTACTATTTCGATCACTTTATTATTTAATTTATTTTTTTAATTAATCTATATTTAATTTATGTAGTTATTAATTTTTTTTATATTCGATGACTCGATTTAGTGACTAAAATTTCGATCACTAAAAAAATAATTTTTACACTCATAACTATTTTTCATTTATATAAATATTTTATTTAAAATATTTTAAATATAAATTTACTTAATAATTTAAAATAATTGATAACATTTTTAATAACATTATAAATATTTTAAAAAAATTGTTTACTAACTTATTAAATAATTTAGTAATATAATTATTTGATTTTATTTTTTTATTTAGCATGTGAATAAAAAAATTAAAATTGATTATTAAATTAGTCATCGAATCGGTCACTGATTCGGTCATCGATTCGGTCACCGAATCAGTCATCGATTCGGTCACTGATTCGATCATCAGATCGGTCCATTGATCGATCACTAGAATCGATCACTCGATTCGGTCATTAGAATCGGTCACTAAATCAATAATTAAATTAATTATTAATTTAGTCTCTTTATATATATATATATATATATATATATATATATATATATATTACTTGTATGTTAATAAAAATGTATTTCAATGTATTTATAAAAAAATAAAATTATTTTAATTACTTGAATTGATATTTTAAATTTATATTAATATCTTGAATAATTTAATAGTTGGATATATATATATATATATATATATATATATATATCACTTTAATTTTTTTAATTAAAATTAATTTCATAAAAAATTCATATTTGAAAATTAAAATGCAAAAAAAATATATATATATATATATATATATATAAATTTATTTATTTTTTAAAGATGATATATTCAATGTATGTTAAAAAAGTTCAAGCCAAACTTGTTTTTATAGAAGATTTTCAAAGCTACTTGGTTTAATTAATCTGTTAAAAGATTCTTTTAATATGTTAAAAGTGCAGTTTTAATCTGTTAAAACTTCTTTTAATCCACTAATACGTTCTTGATTCTTTAACAGATTTGTTTTAACTCATACGACAACGTTTATATCAATTAAAACACTTTACAAAAAATCTTCTAAGTTGATTTAATCGATTGTTTCGCGATTCAATCGATTGAAATACTTGCAAAACTTTCTCCTAAAACTTTTCAAGTTATTTTAACTGATAAAAATAAGTTTTAATCGATTAAAACGCTTGTGCATAAACTGTTTTAATCGATTGAAACGAGATTTAATCGATTAAAATAGTTATGATCGGTCATAAATGCATTCTGACCGATCATAATTGAAACCATATAATAGCGGTTCAAGGGTTAACCGCTATCTAAGTCATATTTTAAGAGCGATTCCTGTGTAACCACTATCTAAATGTCATCTCGCTTGAGCGACAACATTCTTGCTCGAGCGAAACGCCCCTGCACAAAATTAGTACTCTCGGGTTGTATTTCGCTTGAGCGAGTCTATCTCGCTCGAGCGATAGTTGATTCTGATCGATTATATATTCGAAATGATCGATCATATTTGATAATTTTTTCAAATAATTAATTATAATCAATTAGTTTTCTAAATTATTGATTAGAATTGATTAGTTTTTCAAATAATAGATTAGAATTGATTAATTTAAAATATATACTAAAAAAATATAATTAAAACTATAAATTAGTTAAGAATATTGACTATTGTAAAGATAAAGTAGAAACATGGGAGGAGATGAGGATGATAATATAATGATAGAACTTACAAAAATGTAGAATTGAGAAGTTTGAAACAAATAAAAATAAGAAAATAGATATTTAATTACACTTTTAATAAATTTAAGATAATACTAGTTTTGATTTTTATTTTTAAATATTTATTTTAAATATTTAAAACAGAGAAACTATAATTTTAGTTTCTAGCTACTTGAATTTAAATAATTAAATTTATTATTATTTAATCTTTTAATTTGTAGAATTAAACTCAATATAATTGTTAAAAATACTTTGTAGAGGCATTTGAGAAAGCTTTTGTCAAAATACTTTGTTTTTAATTGTTAAAAACATTTGTAGAGGCATTTTGCAAAACATAATTGAGATGATATGATAGCGGTTCCACCTTAACCGCTATCTAAAGTATAATTAAGATAGCGGTTAATGGTTAACTGCTATTAGAAGTGCACTTTTAAGAGCGGTTCCAGTTGAACCGCTATCTAAAATGTATTTCGCTTGAGCGATAATATTCTCGCTCGAGCAAAACTCTAACTGCACAGAATTCGCATTCTCGGGTTGTATTTCGCTTGAGCGACATACTCTCGCTCGAGCGAAATACGATCCTGATCGATCATAACTTGAAATGACCGATCATAATTGAGAGGATATAATAGTGGTTCCCTCATAACCGCTATCTAAAGTGCATATTAGATATCGAGGTGTATTTCGCTTGAGCGAGACTACTCTCGCTCAAGCGAAACTGATTCTGATCGATTATATTTTCAAAATGACCGATCATATTTGATAATTTTTTCAAATAATTAATTATAATCGATTAGTTTTCTAAAATATTGATTAGAATTGATTAGTTTTTCAAATAATAGATTAGAATTGATTAATTTCAAAATATATACTAAAAAATTATAATTAAAACTATAAATTAGTTAAGAATATTGACTATTGTAAAGATAAAGTAGAACATGGGAGGAGATGAGGATGATAATATAATGATAGAACTTACAAAAATGTAGAATTGAGAAGTTTGAAACAAATAAAATTAAGAAAATAGAGATTTAATTACACTTTTAATAAATTTAAGATAATACTAGTTTTGATTTTTATTTTTAAATATTTATTTTAATTATTTCAAACAGAGAAACTATAATTTTAGTTTCTAGCTACTTGAATTTAAAGAATTAAATTTATTATTATTTAATCTTTTAATTTTAGTATTAAAATTTTAAATTATATTTTATTAAATTAAAATAATTACAATATATTTTTCTCCTTTGAGAATGAACAATATAATTAAACTCAAAATTGACAATATTATAATACATTTTTGAACTCTTTTGGATTAATTTCTTTTTCCTAATTTTTTATAAAGTTAATTTTAATATTTAAAAGTATTTAACATTTTAAATTCTGAAAGGTTTTCTCTAATAGAAAAATTAAAAACATAATATAAAAAAAATAGTTAATGTAAGTTTTAATTATGATCGGTCATAACTGCATTCGACTAGATCATAATTGAAACCATATAATAGCGGTTTCAGTTTAACCGTTATCTAAGTGAGCTTTTAAGAGCGGTTCCCTTCTAACCGCTATCTAAAATGTATTTCGCTTGAGCGAAAAATTCTAGCTCGAGCGAAACGCCCCGCACAAAAGTGGCATTCTCGGGTTGTATTTCGATTGAGCGACTCTAATCTCGCTCGAGCAATGGTGCAACCATTGTTAGTAAAGATATGTAAAGATATGTAAAAATATAAACATATAAATATATATAAAAATATGTAAAGATATAAACATATATCTTTAATATTTTGTAAATGTAAATATAATTTATATATATTTTTAAATCTTTTTCTAATATTTATTTTTAAAAATATAATATTATTTTTAAAATTTAATATTTTTTTTTCAAATATATAAATATATAAAGATATAAATGTATAAGGATATAAATAAATATATAAATATATCAATATATAAATATATCAAAATATAAATATATAAAAATATAAATATATAAATATATAAATATATAAATATATTAATATATAAATATATCAATATATAAATATATAATATATATATATATATATATATATATATATATATATATATATATATACAAATATATCAATATATCAATATTATCCCCTCATATATTAATATACATTATTAGCATAATTTTAATTTAATTAAAAATTAGAATACAAATATACTATACTATATTAATATACCATTATATTATTTTCATTGTATATAAATTACAAAATTAATAATTTGTATACTATACTATACTAATATATTATTTGTATACTATACTAATAGTATAATATACTATATTATAATATTATTTATATAGAAAACTAATATATTTATATATAAATATATAAAAATATAAATATATGTAAAAATATATAAAGATATAAATATATAAATATATAAATATATCAATATTTAAATATATATTAAAATATATAAATATATTTTTATTTATAAATTTTATATTTATATATTTGTACGGATATACATTTATTTGTATATAAATATAATTTATTTGTAAGTTATTATTAAAAGATCCTAATAGCTCGGTGGTTGGAGTTTCAGCCTCCAACTCTAAGGTCCAGGTTCGAATCCTGACAATGACAATAAACCACCTAATAATAAGTTAAACTTCTAAAAAATATAATATAATTAAGAGATAGGGAAAATAAATAATAGATATAATAAAAATGTAAATAATTAACTTTTTCATTGATTCGATGACCGATTTGGTTGGTCACTGAATCGATCATCTGAATCGGTTACTAAAATCGGTGACCAAGGAAATAGTGACCGATTCCAGTTGGTCACTATTTCGGTCACTATTTTAATTAGTAACCGATTTTGCACATTTAGTGACCGAATTTTTGGTCACTATTTGATGTTTTTCTTGTAGTGAGACTTAAATCTCTTAAAATAGTAGCGGATAAAATTTTTATTATGCAATTTATTTTAAACTTATTACTGTCCATTTCTGATAAACTATAACACTATGAAATGTGCATGAACTACATAGTATGTTAGTTCAGGAGGAGATTAGGCTTAATAACTTAGAAAACCACTTTGTTCATTATGTGAGAAATTAAGGAACTGGAAATAAAGTTGTTAAAAAATTTTGAAAAGAGTAAATGACCATTAAAGACTAATGAGTCCTTTATTAAAATCTAGAAGAAAAATGATAAATGTCATTTTTGTGGGAAGTCTGAACATTTTTATAATGATTGCCTAAAGTGTAAAAACTTGGTTCGAAAAGAAATGTGAGCATAATGTTTACGTATATTTTGAATTAAACTTAATTGAAGTTTCCCATAATACTTAGTGAATTTATTCTAGATATATGACTCATGTTTCTAATGTGATGCAAAGATTCCTTTCAACCAAAACCATAAATCCAAATGAGAAGTTCGTCATCATAGGAATAAAGTGAAGGTTCTAGTAAAATCTGTCGAGACTTATCTTTGATCCTTAACATTGTATATCACTTATACTTGATAGATAATTTTTATATACCTAGTATCACTAGGAATTTAGTTTCTTTGTCTAAGCTTGATGTTACTAGATACTCTTCTAAGTTTGAAAATAGTTGTTTCAATTTGTTTAAGCGTACTTGTATGGTTGGATCTGGTATATTTTATGATGGTTTATATAAATTGAATTTGGATAATTTATATGTTGAAACTCTTATAAACTTGCATCACAATATCGACACTAAACATAGTTTGGTAGATGAGCGATTTGCTTATTTATGACATAAGTGTTTGTGACACATTTCCAAAAAATAATACAAAGATTAGTAAATAATAAAATATTTATATATTTAGATTTTACTGATTTGAATATGTGTGTAGATTGTATTAAAGGCAAATAAACAAAACATACAAAGAAAGAAGCCACAAGAAACACTCAATTTCTTGAAATCATATATATTGATATATGTGATTCATTTGATGTGAATTCTTTCAATAAAGATAAGTATTTCATTATGTTTATTGACGATTTTTCGCGTTATGAACATGTTTATTTACTGCATGAAAAATCTCAAGCAGTTAATGTCTTAGAAGTTTATAATGAAGCAGAGAGAATTAGACAAGAAGGTGAGAATTGTTAGGTCAAATAATGGTGGTGAGTATTATGAAAGATATGATGAAAGTGGACAATACCCTGGTCCGTTTACTAATTTCCTTGAGAAATATGGTATTTATGTTCAATACACAATATCAGACACGACACAACAAAATGATGTCTTAGAAAGGCGTAATCAAACCTTAATGGATATGGTTAGTAACATATTATGTAATTCATGTTTACCTGTATTGTTGTAGATATATACTTTAAAAACTGTCATATATTTGTTGAACATGGTTCCTAGTAAAGTTGTTCAAAAGACTCATTTTAAGTTATGGACAAGTAGGAAATCTAGTTTGAGATACATGTATATTTGGGGTTGACAGGCAGAAGTAAGAATATACAATTTGTAAAGAAGAAACTGGATGCAAGAACAATCAGTGGATATTTCATTGGTTATCTAGGAAAATCCAAAGGGTATATGTTTTACTTTCCTACCCATACTACAATAATTGTTGAAATTGAAAATGTTCAGTTCATTGAGAATTATGAAATTAGTGGAAGTGAAACTTCACAAAATGTGGAGATTAAGAAAGTTAGAGTATAAGTTCTTATAGCTAGTACTTGTTATTCAAAAGTTGGTGTTCCCCATGTTGTACAACCACACAACAATCAAGAAGAATAATAAAATAATAATCCTAAGGCTAACAATGAGCCGGTAGTAGAACAATTACATGAAATAGTATTAAGAAGATCTCATAGAGAAAAAAATCTTTTCTTTCAAATGATTACATGACTTAAAGTATTGATAATGACCCAATTTTATTTTCAGAAACATTAATGATGATAATTCTGACAAGTGATTAAATATTATGAAAGATGAATTTAAATCAATAACACATAATGATGTATGAGACCTTGTAGTATTACTGGAAGGATGCAAAGAAAGTTGTGTGTAAATGAGTATTTAAAACTAAGCGTGACTTTCATAACACTATCGAACATTACAAGATTGCCAAAGATTTTACTCAAAAAGATGACATTGACTATAAAGAAACATTTTCGCCTGTTTCTAAAAAAAATTATTTTAGAATTATCATTAGTAACTCATTATAATTTTGAATTGTATCAAATTGATCTTAAAACTTTCTTTCTGAATGAGAATTTAGAGGATGTTGTTTATATGGACCAACTAGTGAGGTTCATTGAAGAAGAAAAGGAATACATGGTGTGTAAACTTAACAAATCAATATATAAACTTAAACAAACTTCTCAACAATGGTATCGTAAGTTTAAAGATACTATTTTGTCTTTTAAATTTAAGGAAAATATTGTTAATCAGTGTATATATCTGAAGGTCACTGACAACAAATCTACATATCTATTTTTGTATGTTGATAATATCTCTATATTTCTGTTTTTGTATGTTGATAATATCTTGTTTGCAAGTAATGATCTTGGTCTATTAAGTAAGATTAAGAAGTTTCTTTCTAACAATTTTGAAATAAAAAATATGAGTGAGACATATTATATGATAGAAATAAAAATATTTCGTGATAGATCACAAGAATGGTTAAGTTTGTCTCAGAAAAGATATATTAATAAAGTTTTAGAGAGATTTAAAATAAATAAATGTTCAACATCTCCTATTCAATATGAAAAGAGGACAAATTTAGTCTCATGCAATGCCTAAAAAATGATAATTTGGAATGAGAACAGATGAAAAATATTCCTTATGCATCTATTATTAAAAGTATCAGAAATGTTGTTCTAAAATTAATGATAACTAACTTGATAGAAATTAACTATATAAAAGAAGCAAAAATAACTATATAAAAGAAGCAAAAAGTTATGTTTCTACCATAAGGTTTTCTTACTATTAATCTTCAAAAAGTGAGGAAAAAAAAAAGGAAAAAAGTTAGATTGAAAAAAGGATATTGGTAAAAAAGAGATTAAAAAATGCATCTTCACGACCTTATCGTGATTTACGTGAATGTGTTCTACATAGTTGTTATTTTATTTTGAATTGAATTAGAAATAGTTGGAAACTATTTGAAGTAATATAATAATTAAGTTACTTGTGAGAAATTCAGTGTACTAGTAAGACAAAAATACAATAAGAATTTGGAAATAGTTTTACCAATAATCTCTGCAAGAACATACACCTTCTTTAAATCTGTGAAATCGGGCTCGATCACGCACAATAATCTCCCTTTTATAAACAATTGATATAATTTTTATCACAAGATGACAGTCCACACATATTCTAAGGTTTTTTATAACCTGAATTGGTGTCCCATCACCTGTCTTAATTAAACCATATGCCACGGCCAACTTCTCACTGTGATAATTAAGCGCATTCTCCTTGTCTTCCTCCCCAATATCATGCAGCACAAGATTAGTCTCTGCTGCATATCCATAGGATTTAATCCTGAACTTTATCTCATCAAGTTTTGCATATATATCCTTTGAACTCGGATGACTCTGATCACCATTTACAAACTTGTGTATCTTACCATCAATCTCTGTGTAACTAAATCCTGGCACCTTCCTCACATCCTTAATCTTCATGGCCTCCCTCACCCTCCCTACATCATGCCATCTCTGTTGCGCTGCATAAACATTCGATAACAACACGAAATACCCACAATTGTTGGATCCCATCTCCACCAGCTTCCTGGATGCCATCTCAGCCATTTCCACATTCCCATGGGTCTTACAAGCCCCAAGCAAACTCTGCCAGAGCACCACATCAGGCAGCATAGGCATTGAGTTTATAATATCACATGCTTCTTTTATCCTTCCTGCTCGACCCAACAAATCAACCACACTCCCATAATGCTTAACAGTAAGTTTCATTCCACGCCCCTTCATCATATCAAACAACCTAAACCCTTCTTCCACCAAGCCAGCATGGTTGCATGCACACAATGCAGAAAGATACGACACCGCATCCGGATCCACTCCATCCACGACCATCTGATCCAAAAGCTCAAGTGCCTTTTTCCCATCACCATTCATCGCAAGCGCCATGATCATAGTATTCCACGTGACAAGACTCTTCTTGCAGCTCATACTGATAAATACCGAATAAGCTTTATCAACAAACCCGCATTTTGCGTACATATCAATAACCGCGTTACAAACAATCACCTCGGTGTCTAGCTTCTCGTCCACAACGTAGGCATGAATAATCTGGCCATGTTTCAAAGCACCCAATTGTGAACAAGCGGAGAGTGCTCCAAGAACAGTTACCTCGTTAGGCCTCCACCCCTCTTCCTTCATTCTGTTGAACAAAGCTATTGCCTCATTGGGTCGGCTTCCTTGAGCTAACCCAGAAATCATGGCATTCCACGAGGCAATATCTCGCTTGTGCATATTATCAAACACTTTATGGGCAGCATCAAGATCACCGGTTTTGGCGTACACATCCAGCAAAGTGGTCAGCAACAATATATCAGCTTCAAACCCAAAACGCAGAAGCTGAGAGTGAATCTGAGTGGCTTCGAAGAAAGCCAAGGCGCGCGCGCAGCCCTTGAGGGCGAAGGAGCAAGTTAAAGCGTCCACCTTTTGGGGACTGCGTGACATGGCGCGGTACCATGACAGGGCCTGCGTCGGTTTTGGGCTTTGGGCCAGACCTCGGAGAACGGCGTTCCAGTCGTTAGTGGAAGGTGTTTGGATTCGCCGAAAAATTTGAAAGGCGAAGGATAGGTCACCTGCGGGGGAGATTGCGCAGAGCTCAAGGAGCTTTGATCGGAAAGGGTGGCATTGGAATTTACCGGTTGTTATGAGATGGGCTTGCAGCAGCTTCATGCAAATTAAAGAGGTGCATTTCTGCAACACTGAATCCAATTGACACTGAGAGGCCATTCTACCGACCAAGAAAGAACCACATCTAAATTAAAATCTCTGGCTAAGTAAATTACTTTTGAGTTAATATTATTTGTTTTCTGAATATGTTAATGAAAATGCGCGCATCACTGATGTTAGTTATTTTGTTCGCTTGATAGCAATGTTGTGATAGTCGGACTGCTCAAAGAGATGAATTCATGTTGAAACATTCACTTGGATACAACTAAATTTAATAAAAATATATAATAAATTTATTAATAGTTATATTTTTAAAAAATAATAATAATAAAAATTACTGTTAGATGAGTATATTTATGAATATAAAATATATTAAAAGATATAAAATCAATAATTATTAAAATAAGATAAAAATATAATAAAATAATTTTTATTATAATTAATAAGAGATAAACAAATTATATTATATTTTTTATAAATAAAATATATTAAAAAAATTGATTTTAATTTTTTTCAAATCAGTTTCATTAAAAATTCAACCAAATTTTCTTAATTTTATCCTAATTTTTTAAATTTTATTCCATTTAATTAAAATTCGATTATATGACAGTAATATACCGATTTCTAGGTTTAACCAAACAATCTAATTTTCAAAAAAAATAATTGGATAGTATATTAATTTTTGTAGAAAAAACATATGCCTGTAGAGAATAACCTTGAATTGAGTGTACTTTTACATTATTCCATGTATATTATTTTGTCTAGTGGTCTGCATTCCACGAGCTTCTTCCAAGTTAAAGTGAATCAATTTTTTAACACGTTCTTTTTCACATTGCTTGATGCTCAAATAAGAAAAGTGGTACGGTTAAGCAACCAATATAAGTTAACAGAAGCAAATAGATGACTAATGAGGAAAACAAAGTTACACAACAGCAATTAGAGCACTACCAAATTGAATTTGTTTCTATTCAATTCGCCTTTAGATGGCAAAACATACAAGAACAATAGAGGAATTGCCCCCTTAAATGTCTAGCAAAGATATGGCTCAATTTCATCTTCTAGTGCAGCTTTCTGCCAGCTACGAGGGATGGATCTTGTACCTTCACTGGCCACCGGAAACGATGATAATTGGAGATTCGTGGTGCTTGCCGACCTCCATTATTGCTCAATGTACAATATTGCTTGCAGGAGGAATAATAAAAATACAACATACCAACTGAACTTGCAACAATGAATCAACAGAGAATATTTGACCCAAATCTTGTAACTGAACAACCATTATGCCTAATCCCGAATCTTCTGGACTCCAACCCAGCGAGCATAATCCACCCACCTGTTCACAGAAGATTCATGCATGTTACAAATAATAAGAAGTGGAAAAGAAGCGGATTTAGTAAAATATATCAAGATAAAATGAAAATCTTACAATAGTGAGCCCAAGAAAGTGTTTCCAGTTCTGACAGCAAAGCAAATTGCGCTCAGGACAAGCTTGTGCTGGTGTAGCAAAGGTTCTAGAATCCTTTGTTCAATAACTCCAGCTAGTACTTGGTACCTGGTAGAAGACAAAGATTTCCTGTTAGATTCTACTTATGCATGCAAAGGAGAATTCATTACTGTTAGGATGCACTCTCCCTCACTCAATCCAAGAGAATAATTTCGTCATAGAAGTTATTTATTTTTTAAACATACCTTAAGTTGCTAGATACTGCCATGTAAACCCCATAGGCAACACTAGTCGATACTATCGGAACATCCTCAGCCTCAGCGGCAAAAGATTTATCAACAATTTTTCTCGCATTGATCAGCGCATTTGTTACACCTGTACCAATCTGAAATGGCAGTGCAATCACTCATCCATATAATCCAGTACACAATCATATATCAATTACATGGTACCCACATGAGTTGGTCTAGAGGTTGGAGGTTTAGATGATATGAGGTCCTAATTTCAAAACCTCATTGCTTTTAATAATAATAATAATAATAATTAAGAAAAACATGGTCACATAGATCCTAAGAAAGGTAATTGATTTATGCCTCTCATTTTAAGCTCACAGGGAGTAGTACTAACAATATTAGTTTACCTATTGAGAAGCTGTATTCGTCTTGTAGACAAAAAAAAATGCAGGGAACAAGAATCATCACCCGAGTACCTGAGCTCAAAGGAGAGTAATCTACGTTTCTCTAAACAACTTGATAAAGTATCTATTGTAAAATATTCATTTTTTATTATTCTTTTCTTTCACCTCTTCTGACTATATATGGTTTTGCCGTATGGCATCCAGCTGCATGATCTTAATTCAGCACTTCAAATAAACTATGTCAATTTCCAAATAATTATCAATGAAATGAATATGTCATGAGTCATGACGAATTCAATCTTTTCATTCAATTTAAAATATATATATATAACGCACCAAAGGTACTCCGCAAAATATTATCAACAATTTGAAGATCATAACAAGAGCAATAAAAAACAGCAAAATGGCGATTGTAATGTAAGGCCTGGAGTAAGTCTGGCGATAAACTAAAAGAAGCTTAAGAAGCTAAATTACCAGTGATGCACCAGTCCCAACTGCAAATAGCTTTGCACCGTTACGCTGCATAAGAAATGTTGTTTAAAACCCTCATATGTGACTAAATAAATGCTTGAATTTCTTAGGATCCAACACATACCACTATAGCACCTATTCTCTGGATGAGTGTATATGAGGTTCCAGCCAAAGCCACCTGTTGAGTGTTTACAAAAAATTAAGCCCAGTCACTCAACGAGTGTAATTTAAAAAAAAAAATACAATATTAATCAACACCAAAAATAATAAAATAAACAAAAGCAGGTGAAGAGTGGTTTGAAAAGTGTTAACCTGAAAAGCATTTTCAGGGCAGCCATAGAAGAATTTAGCAATAGTTCCAGCACTAACAGCAAGTGGTGGTCGGAGAGAAACTGTGGGAGCAGGAAGCCACACAAGCATAAAATCCGCTACAATGGCCATTACCTGTCAACAGTTAAATGAAATAAATATTCGTTAATGCCTTATTTTCACTGTAAAGAAAACTTAGTTTTACAGAAGAGAAATGCAATGTACTAAGCAGCTTCTAATGGAAGGGACAACAAGCCTACCACATCGGCACAAACAAAATCAAGCTCCTTACTAAAATTTTCTTTGCGCTTCTCCAACTCCGCAGCAGTCTGAAAAGCAAAGATGATACTCATTACAACCAGATTATATGCATCATTGATGCTTCACTGAAACAGTCAAATACATAAAAAATGGTGAGAATAACAAAGAAATCACCAGAAGCTCCCTACTATGTCACTAGAATTAGTTGAGTAGGAAAGTTATATTGATTTGTTGGGTATCAGGTCCACTGGTCCAGAACATAATGGATAGCATCAGAAACTTAGTTGTTAACTACTGTTATTTTACTATGCCATCTCTGTTTAGTTCAGTAAATTAACAGTGACAATAATATTAAACGAGTGATATCAGTATATTACAATATTCAAGAATAAAAGATCCAATCATCTATATTCTAGAATAATTCAACATAAACATTAAAAGATAATTTTGAATAACCCGACTCTGCCTCAAGGAAATGGGTCTAAAATAATGCGTGTTCATCAAAATAAAAATGAATCAGAAACCTGCTGGGAACCTCCATCTTGAACAGAGCACATTACAACATGCGGTTGTTTTGGTCCATCTCATCTCATATCTAATGCATGTAGGTTAATGAAGCTTAAGAAAATGGATAAGATAGGTGAAATTGGGAAAAGGAACCTTCGTAAAGATGCCAACACCGCACTCCATGCCAACCTTGGCGAGGAACAAATCATCCGCCAGCAACCTCTCCTTAAACCCTCCGAAATTCAGCAACCACCGGAACACGGCCGATTTTTCCAGCTCAAAGAACCTCTTCACAATCGACCCCGGAACTCGCCCCGCCTCAATAGCGGCCGCTAAATCCGCGGGCAATTTCTCCAACGGTCGCCCGGCCTCCGCGAGAACGAGGAGCGCCTCCTCTCGGTTGCGATCCCTGTCTTCCGATTCACCGTCGCCACCCCCACTTCCTCCCCCACGACCTGCACCATGCCCTCCTCCAGTCCCGCCGCCGTGGGCCGATGCAAAAATGGCGGACACGGGAGAGCGAAGAGGTATGAAAAGGGAAGCATGGGAAGAAGAGTGTGTGGGACGGAACGAGAGAGTGAGGGAAGGTAGCGGGAGAGAAGAGCGGTAACGGAGGGGGAGAGAGAAGGAGGAGGCAGAGAAGTTGGAGAAGGAAGTGACAGCCATTGCCGTTGCAGTTGGAGTTGGAGGGTGAAGAGAGGAGAGAGGGAGAGTGACAGTTAAAGGTAGGAGTTTGGTGGTGGAGTGAAAGAGTGAGGTTCATGACTTGGACTTCTTGGTCAGACAGTGGTTGTTGCCCTCTCCATGTGCCGTATACGCCACGCGCTTTCCTCTATCTTCAAATTCCTTATATTATAGTAAATAACTATTTAAAGCACCTTTATTCTCTTACATTACCATATATTTAAAATTAAATTTGCTTATGCATTTAATGTTACCAATATTTTCCAATAGATACTTTTAATAAATAAAAAATTTAGGACCACATTCTTTCTTATTGGTTGACATCCACTAACAATTGCAGAGTTAAGTGGGATCACACGACTTACTAAATGATTTTTTTTTTCTATTTCATGTTCAGTTTCCAATAATTTTAGTTAATCACAGATAGTACGTTAAAAAATGTTTTAAGTAGAATGTTTTCATCACTCTTATTTTCATATCATGGCTTATGAGTAAAGGGTATAATTGTATCTTATTATTGAAGAAATTTAGATGAATTTAATATTAATGTCTTTATCATTGATCTATAAGATATTGAGGCAAAGTCCAATTTAAATACTTATATTTCCAATTAATTTGTTAAAAAATCTTCAAGTTTTTTTAACTTGTAAAAAGTTAATTAATATTTATCTAGGTTCAATTATGCATCTATGTTCTAAAAGGATTTGCATGATCTAGGTTACAAAGAATTTCCATGATCACAGTTCAGACTATGGTCGGAGATTCCAAGAAGAATGTCTTACCATGACACTTAACTTAGTCAATAAAGGACCCAATTATAATCTAGCTAAAAAAATTTATAATTTTTTTTAATTTCAATTTATATGATTATTACTAGAATTCCAATAAAAAATGAATAATTGTATTTTAACATCTTAAAATAAATATCTTAATATTAAAATTTATTTATCATATATTATTATATTAAAAGACAGACTATTATAAATTTCATAAAAAAATTGAATGAATTGATTTTTTAAGATTAATTTTTTAATTTCGCTTTTATAGAGTTGCTTGATATTGTAGTTTTGTAAAGTGTGTGTCTTACATTTTGAAATGTTTCTTAAGAATCTAATTTAATTGAATTTTAATTCTGTATATATATATATATATATATATATATATATATATATATATATATATATATATATATATATTTAAGGCTGTTAAATACCTGCCACAATTGCGTCTTGGGTCAAATAATCCAGTGAGCATGAGAGAATGGCATGGTTTAAGAAAAGTTGAAGATAGATTTTGGTTTTCATGATCTTATTAATGTTTTATCATGGTTGTATTTTCCTCCACTTAGTTTAATTGTTTTAGGGATTGATAACATACAAATTAAATTTCAATAGTAGCTTATAAAAATTAAATATTTTTTTAATAACAATCGTACATAGAATGTTTTAATAAATAACTAAAAATATAGAAATCACATAATAAAAAATTTCATGAGAAAAAACAAGATTAAATAATAAAAAACTAAAATGTAGTTTTAAAGCTTTAATTAAAAATAAATGGTATCCTTAATTTATTTATCTTTTAATTTTTTTTCTTTTATATATATATATATATATATTGAATACATATATAATATCATTAATTATTTTTTATATATTACATTGTATATCATATTTAAACACGTATCGTATCGTATATGTGTCGAGGGAACAAAACTTTAGAGGTGATCTCTTATCTAAATTGACTAACACTAAGAGACTTAGTAACAATTAGTAGGTCATACATAAAACACTCACATTTCCGAGTATCACCATGAGCAACGCCCGTATACTTAACATCGAGGCTCAATATTTTTGGATGTGTATATATATGACATATTTCATACATGACACAAAGCCTACCAATGAAGACGAGAAAACACAATTTCAAAAGAGGATTGTTAGACTCAATATGATTGATGACAAATTTTTTCGCCGTAGATTTTTGGTTCCATTGCTTCGATGTATTTTCGAGGCTCGTGTATCCGAAGTCGTGGCAGAGTTACATGAGAGACCAAGTGGGGGTCATATAGGAAGTTGTGCTTTGGCAGCAAAGGTCTAGCGAGCTTGTTGCTATTGCCCATCCATACGACATGATTGTGCATAATACGTTTGACGATGTCATCAGTGTCAATTGCATGCAGACGCCCACACCACACCTATGGAGCCTCTACACACCATTGTCTCCCCATGACCTTTCCACAAATGGGGAATGGACGTCCTCAATCTGTTTATGATTGCAACTCGACAAGATAAATTATTACTTGTGGTAATTGACTACTTCACAAAATGGGTCGAGATCAAATCAATCACAATAATTCTCACTGAAAAAGTATGTAGCTTCGTTTGGAAGACTAATATATGTCATTTCAGAGTGTCATACACCATCATCACGGATAATGACACTTAGTTTACTAGTTACCAACTCCATGAATTATGTGAACGTTTTCGCATAAAGCACATTTTCGCATTGGTCGAGCACCCTTAAACAAAAATCAAGTCAAAGTGACAAACAAGATAATTCTGAAGGGATTAAAACGAAGATTAGGTGAATAACATACACTTTGGGTAGCCGAGATACCCTATATCCTTTGGTCATACCACCCCAAGTTCCAATCTGCTACACGTGAGACACCTTTTAGTTTGGTATATGGAATAGATGTGATGCTTCTCAACAAAGTATTTGAGCCCACTGGGCAAGTTGTGAGGTTCACGAAGAAGGATTATGAATGTGCAATCAGGGTAGACCTCGACTATATTGACAAAACACACGACAAAGCTCATATCCGAAATCGAGACAGCAAAACACTGAACCTACCTAGCTTAATCCATAAAGACTCTCTCTCTCTCTCTCGAGAGTTTTGAGTGTCGGACCTCGTGCTAAGACACATCCAACCAAATCAAATCCACAACAAGTTCTCAACCTAATGAACAAGCCCCTATCGAGTGACAAAAGTAATTGGGAACGACGCGTATAAACTAGAGACCCTCAGTAGAGGACTAATCCTGCGAACTTAGAATGTCGTTAACTTTAGGGATGGCAAAACGGGCCAGTCCGTCCCGTTTTGGCCTGCCCCGCCTTTGGCCCGCCAAAAGCGGGCGGGCGAGCTAGCTCGATATAGTCATGACGGTCGTAGACCTTGGCCCGCCACGCCAAGTGGCTGGCTGGCTAGCTCGCCATAATTTAGAAAAAATAATTTTTTTAAAATAATTTTTTTTAAATATTTTTTTAATAAATTTAATAATAAGATTATTATTTGTTTGTCAATAATTTAATATATATATATATATATATTATTTCAATTTAATAATATAAATCAATACATTATTTTAAGAAATTATAATTTAGAACAATAATAAAATTTACATAATAATAAATAATATATATATATATATATATATATATATAACGTTAAACTTATAAAATTTATATTTTTTATATTGAAAAATTCAAATACCTATATCTTTTTTATTTGATAAAACTTCATATTATTTTTGGTTGAGTAATTCTTATACCTTTAATTCAAGTAATAAGGATAAATATAATCGAGTGCTTAGGATAAACAAGGAGAACAGGAGATAAGGTTATATTTCGGGAAGGAGAATATTTTCTGTGAGAATGAAACTTTTTTAATTCTCTTTTTAAAATTTTTAACTTTATATATTATCTTTATAATTAATTTTATTACAATAAAAAATTATTTTTTTATTAATTAGGCGGGTCGCGGGCTAGCCCGCCTCGTCCCGCGGGTTGGCCCGACGGGTTGGCGGGCTTGGCGGGGCAGGCCAAAGCGGGCTGGTGGGCTGAAAACACCAACACGCCCCGCCATATTATGGCAGGCTGGCAGGCTAGCCCGCCGGGCCTAGCCCGTTTTGCCATCCCTAGTTAACTTACATTTTTATTATAGTTGTTATTTTTTACTCATGTTTTAAAGTTCGTTCAGTTAATAAGTACTCGTACTAATGTAGTTGAAGGTTTTCTCTTTCTCCCTTAGGGTTTTTCCTCCAAGTTGGATAAATAAAATAAGTTTTGAAAGGAATGCTTGATCTACATGTTGACTATGTGATGTCGGTCTATGCGACAACCCTATAAGGTTGATCTACGCGGCGACCCTGTGAGGTCATCTTACACGATGACTGTGACACCTTTAATACCAACATTCACTTTATTATGATTTATTAATTATTATTGATTCCTCTTAGTATTTTGATTACCAATACACTCTTGTAGAAGTAAAGTACACAATAATTAGAACATACACTTAGTGATTAATATACATATCATTCATAAGTGTCAAGTATAACTAGATAGTAAATATACATAAAGTCATCCCAAAATACACCTAACAAGGGTTCACAATACCAGAGCAAACAAACTAACTAGACAAACTAATTATACAACCTAACTAAAGAGGAGATATATTCTGTACGTCCACTAAAATGAAGTATCTCTTGTAGCATCTGTAGTGGTGTCCGATCAAGTCTTCTACTTAGTACTTGCAGTGATCGTATTTAAACTTTACTTGGAGATGATACCGGGGATGAGTTGTGTTCAACGTCACCTATGCAAACATTTCATAATAACAATACATGCACAGAAAGGGTAAGACAACTTTATATTCACTTAGAGCATGCAAATAACATTGGGTTAATTAGAAATTACATATACAAACATACTAGTAATCAGCACACAAATGATATGATATTATGAATGCAATGTATTCACTAATCTTTTCTAAGACACATCCTAGTATGCAAGATCATGGGGATCCCAAAACCACTTTCTCTTTTCTTTTCTTTTTTTTTTTCTTTTCGAGAAGGATCAGGAGTTTCACGGGAACCTCTCATCGCCTTGCGGTAGTATACTCATAATTACTTGTCCAGCTCAACTGATCATGAGAAACCCTGGGGCTTTAGTCAGGATAATCAAGCTTGGTAGTGAGA